TAGTCATAAACTACGTTACATACATACACCTTTCAAACTTCAAAGTATATATTGATCTGATTAGACCAACACTCTCTCTTTATCTGTAGTCTCTCTTTGTACTATTAGGGGTCGTTTAGTATAGTAATTTTAGATGTAATTAACGGATTCAATTAAGGGGGTGTTTGGTATCAAATTAATAAAGGTAACGGAATGGAAACAGATTAGGGAGGGAGGGAAAGGGTATTATTTAGTGTTACCCTTACTAGTTGTTTGGTATCACTAAGGAAACGTAAACGATTAATTTCAGCTAGGCTTTTTATCAAACACGTTATGAGCACCCAGAATAATTTCTAAATCAAGGAAAGATCAAACATGTAGAGATTAGTGTATAATGTAAGCAATTTGCATTTCAGTTATAATCATATAAAACAATATCATTAAACTATATACTATAATGTTACAAGACTAATAACAGAATTTTGTTCATTATTAAAAGAGAATACCTGGAAATTGGATAAACGTTGGAAGCATCAAGATTCAAGCATATTAGCAAAAATTTTATGAAGCAAAAACCAGGAAATTCAATTGAGAAAAATAAAACTCAAATAAAACAGAAAAATTAGATCGAAAAATCAAATAAAATAGCAATATTTCGAGGTAGAAAAATCAAAATACAATAAATCAAACAAAAAAATATATAAATTCAACATAAACTCAAAATCTAGGGTTCTTAAACAAAAAATTGAAAGATAACAAGCCTGTGATGATTGAGATTGTGGATTTTTGGAGATTTGAGATAGGAAAATTTAACAACTTGAGCAAAATCTGTAGCTTCAATTGATCAAAGTTGGAAATTTTTTTTGGAGATCTGTCGTATGAGAGGAGAGAGATGAGGCAGAGTTGTTTTTTTGGGTTGGAGGAAAGAAACGGGATTTGTTTCCCCAAGTTTTACACCGGAAACAAAGTGGGGGAATGGGTTAGAGGAAAGAAACGGTTTTTGTTACTTAACTCATTAACCAAACATGTTCTAACGAAAACGGTAACCTGATTCCGTTTCCAGCCCTATAAAAAAACCATACTAAACACCGCTTAAGTGTTTTCATTTCTAGTTGTTTGGTATGGGTTAAAAATAACAAATACTATTTCTGGAGGGTAACAAAATCCCCCAATTTGTTACCCTTGACAAACTAGTGGAAACAAAATGTGTTTCCTTACTCAATCACAATTTACTCAAATTGTTCCATTCCACTAGGATACCAAACATACAATATAGGTAACGTTTATCATTACCCTTTCCCCTACTTATTTGAATCCTTTCCGATTATACCAAACACCCCCTTAGTGGAAATAAAGTAAAAATGGCAGGAGTGGAACCGGGAGTAGTGGCAAGGAGGAGGAGAATTCATCATACTAGTATTAGTAATCCTAGCTTCGTACTACATCTGGTGGTAATAATTCTTTTTTTTTTCTCTGAAGACGCTCTGCTTTCTCTGTCTTCTCCAACAATAATTCATTTGCCTCTTTCTTGGTATGCTTAGTATCACGCTTTTAGAGTCAATAAATATATCATGGATATCAATCTGACCTTTTATTATAGTATATAAGTATGTTTATTACCACCAAAAAATGTACCTGTTTTAAAAATAACCTCTCGTTTAATTTTTATTTTTATTTTACCACCCCTTAAATTAAATAACCGCTCAGATTACCACCCATTTCAAAATTCCGGTGAAGTTTCTGACAGTGGGCCCCACTTTTTTTATTTTTTTCCTTTTTTTTCTTCTATTCTCTGGATTTCCCACTCTCTCACCCTGATTTTTTCACTCTCCATCTTCTTCATGCCTTCTTCATTGAATCAAACAATTTTCTGCTTCAAACTAGCTAATTCAAATCAATTACATACTTATATTACAAAACAATCACACAAAATTGCAAAATTTTGTTTATTTAATGGTTCCATTTTGAACCCATTTGTAATTTCCCACCCCCCCCCTTTTCGTACGGAATCATTGCTATAAAACCTTAAAATAATGAGAGTGAACTGTAAATGTTGTTTGCAGATTATTCGTTTTGTTGTTGTTGTTGCTGCTGTTGTTGTTAATGGTGATGATGATCAGTCACTATCTCAAAACAACAACAATAATAATAGTACAAACAACAACAACAACAACAACCTACAAAATCATCATCATCATCACCATAGTCAGCCACCTCCGCCGCAAACTCTATCGCAGCAAACCATAGTCAACAACTAGCTAATTCAAATCAACCATAAGTTCACAACCATCGCAGCGAACTTACCACACCAACTCCCACCACCACCTGTCAATTCAATTGAATTGGGGGTTTTCTTAAAATAGGAACCCTAATTTAAGAAACCCCCAATTCAATTGAAGCATGAACCCTAAATTGACCCTTATTCTTTCTTCTTAATTTATTTTTGGGGCTGATTTGTGGGTGTGAATTGATGTTTTAGCTGTTCGATATGGAGGTCTGGCAGCCTGCAAGTGGCTTGCAGTGATGGCTTGATGCGGCGCTGCGTGTAAGGTGATGGCGCGTTGCTTATGGTGGTTGTCCAGGAAATTGGTGGGTGGTGTTGCCGATGGGGAATTGTAGATGAAGAAGAGGAAGAATTTGGAAGTGAGCTTGAAATGGAAGGCAGGAAGAAGATGGAGAGTGAAAAAATCGGGGTGAGAGAGTGGGAGAATAAAAGAAAAAAAAGGAAAAAAAAAAAGTGGGGCCCACTGTCGGAAGCTTCATTGGAATTTTGAAATGGGTGGTAATTTGAGCGGTTATTTATTTTGAATGGAATGATGATGGATAGGTGTACATAGGGACAGACAAGCTAAGGAGCAGGACATACCAAGATATTGAGACATGGAAGTTAGGAGCATTGGCTAGAGAAGAGCCAAGGAAAGACTTGATTCCAAGCATTCACCAAGTAGAGCATACAGTATTAAATTATAATTGCTTATGTAAATACACTTTTTCAATGTCATTTTTTTATTATTTTTGTGATTTAGCTATCTTATGTCTCACCTACCCTCAGCCTCATCTTTATTATTTTTTATTACAAAGTTTTTATTAATTTCTTGTAAATTAAACACTATTATTAGGAGTATCTTATTAATAATCAATAATGCGATTGCACCAAACAAAATAAGGATTCCACATGGGAAACAAACCATAATGCTACTCACATGCAAAAACTGGCAAATTCTCTATTTCTTCAAAGGCCAGACTACAAGCTGGTTATTCCCTCACCTTTCGGATTCATTTTAATCAAAAATTACTTTATTCAGTATATATATCATGTTGATTAGGTAACTCGTACTAGTGCAGCATTTCACTGCCCGATCGGGCATGCCTTGCCCGGTCAGACCGGGCGGTGATAGGCGTGGCAAAGTATCTCGCAATCTCGCAAACCTCCACTGCCTGATCGGGCATGCCTTACCCGGTCAGACCGGGCGGTGAAAGGAAAGCAGTGCAAGTGTCTCGTATTGAATGTTGCTTCTCGCACCCGATCGACCATGCCTTGCCCGGTCTGACCGGGCGGAGAAGGAATACGAAGGAGACGTGTTTTTGCGGTTTTTTAGAGTTATCTTTTTTATTATCTTTTTGCCCAAGTATCTTTTAATTGGGGATTAATATAAAAACTCCCTAATATTAGTGCTAGGGTTAAGAGAGACAGAGTGAGAGCTATTCTTGAGAAAAAATTGATTCATCTTTGTAATCTTTGCAGTTTATAGTGAAATCTTTAATCTCGGTGCCCGTGGACGTAGCTATCACATTGATAGTGAACCACGTTAATTCTTGGTGTGTTGTTCTTGTTGTTTGCATTAAGTTTCTTTATTGTTTTTCGATCTTTGCTTCCGCTGTCGCACAACATATCAATTATTTATATTATACGACTAAGATGAAATACTTCTATCATCACTCTATCTATATACTCTGTAGTTTATACTCTCAAATTACAGTATTATTTTTTACTTTGATAAAAAAAATTTGTTTTTTTATTTATTTTAATATATTGTTACTTATTAATGATAAAAGACATCAGTAGATGAAATAGCGCATTATCAAATGGTAAATGTAGAAATTAGAAGTACATGTATAGTATATTCTTAAAAAACAGATGAAGTATATATAAATAGATTGTACAACAAATGATTAGAACCTCTTTTCTCTTTAGTAAGTTATTTAGTAGGTGAGATTGTGATATTCTTCCTCATGTGACTGATAAGATATACGTCTGATTGATGAAAATAAGAGAATGACAAGTTGTTGATTTGCACCCATTAAACAAATTTGATTAGATTGTATTGTCATGTTCATGTCATATTCCCACATTAGAATATCCACATGCCTCAAAAGGATGTGTTATTTTTCTTTTCCTTTCTTTTCATCTTAAAAATGAACATGATAAGAACCTTGACATGATGTTTTTTGTTTTCATTTTTCCTAATATACCCTCCTACTTATAATTCTTTTGTATGTAAGCAAATTGTAACTAATATCGTAGCTTTAATTTGAAAATGGAGGTTGTTAATTAAATGGAGTTAATTAAGGTGTGCTTTATTGGATTGATTTATTTAAGCTTATGAGCTTATGTTTTTTTGAAATTGTAAGTGATTATGTGCTTAATAAAACTTATTTTGTCCGATTTATGTTACTTAAACTTATTAGAACATATTTTGTATGGAATGTGTTAAAATAAGTTGAGAAAAGCACACTCTACCCTAATAATCTTAATAAAGATTACAACATTTGTGTGTGCATGATTCATTTTTTGGATGAATCCTTTTTGGACTTTGGAGTTAAAAAATATTGGAAGCAGCGCAGATGGGAGGGGGGGGGGGGGGGGGTGAAAAAACAGTTTGACAATGCAAGTGAGAGGGACAATTGATAACAAGGCAAGGGCAGCAGTGAAAATGAAGTAGCTGAGTGGTGGTAAAAAATGAGTGAATTTAGGTCATATATTATACAATCATGAAATTGGAATGAAAATGTGAGTGATCAACAATCAGGTCAAACCGTCAAAGTCATATTGTATTTAAGTAAGTAGTCGGTAAGAAAATTTGAAACGCACAAATAATAAAAAGGAACCAAATCAATTTTCAATGATATGATATGGTATGGTTAATAATGAATGAAGTAGCCATGAAGTTTCCCTGAAAATTTCGTTCCTCTTTCCTTAATTATTATGACACTTCAGGAAATATATAGAAGTGTTTCGTTCAGCAATAATTCAGACCAACCATTCAAAGTATTGGTCTCGTCATTTTTTAATCTCTCTTTCTCGATCTATGTTTATTATTTGAGAGTGGAATTAATAATTAGAAATAAAATAAAAAAAAAAATGGCAGGGATGCTACCAGGAGTAGAAGCAGCAAGAAGAAGGAGAGTTCATCAAAGCAGTAGCATTAATAATAGCAGTTGTTCATCTCCCTCCTCGAGACGCCTTTCTTTCTCACTATTCTCCACAAATACCTCTACCACCTCTGCCTCTACTTTCTTGGTAAGTAGTATTCTTTTATATAAAGGAAATAAGTATATGTGGTCGAATGATCAAATTAAAGGAATAGATCGATGTGTCTGTACTGTGCAGGGGCATACGACAAGAAGCAGGACATCATACGAAGATGTTGATGATGATGAAGACGACGCAAAGTTAGGAGCTTTGGCTAGAGAAGCCAAGGTTAGACTTGATGCCAAGCTCAGATCAACACCCCTCAAATCTACCAGGTTATTCCACTCGATCTACTTTTATTAATTCATTGAAACTGTTTGTTAATATAGATAATCCTCCTAATTTCAGGAATAATAACAGAATAGGAAGATTCCTGAACAATGAAAATGAAGTGACAAGAAAGAAGAAGAAGAAGAAGAATGGAAAGCTTAGTTGGAACTGGAAATCAGGGGACCAATTAGAATTACAAGATAAAAATAAAAATGGAGAATGTGCAGTATGCTTGGATGAAATGAAAGAGGGTGATGACATAATGAATTTAGAATGCGATCATAGTTTTCATTCAAAATGTTTGATGCCTTGGCTTCAAACCCCTGTTGCAGGTTCAGTATCCAACACCTTTAAACTTCATTTTTCTCACTCTTTCTATGTCAGATCATTCATTACAATGTTCATCGGCTTGCTTATTACCATTTACCAACTAGTATGTAATGTAAATACAAGCAAGATCGAGGTTTTCCAGGCCAGTTGCCAACCCATATCATGTGTTTTATTCTCACCTACCCTCTCTCTTTTTTATCCTTTCTTATTAAGTGCTCATTTAATTTACGTAACAATGACTGAGAAATTTCCAATTAATTATCTACACCGTAGCTCTTAAAACTTTGTGCAACAAAGTAAAACTTCTTGTCATTATTTTCTCAACTACAATCAATTTAATATGAACAAACATACAATTGAAGATTCGAGATCTTCCTACAATTTGTTATTTAACATACAAATTCGAATTATATGATTGAATATGAAGCGACTAAGTCAAATCGACAATTCTCACAAGAATTCACATTGTCAAAATTTCCACCAATAACTTTTATTTCTTCCATAAAACAATAATAATAATACCAACAAAGACCTTAACATAATAATCCCAATCAATGCAATACTCAAGATTTTTTTTAGAATAATCAATAATTTGTTCTTTTGATTAAATTTTACTTTAAGCCTTATCATACTATTTATATACTTCACTTTGCCAATCAATATTAGTGTTTTATATCTAATGAAAAACATATTTATGTGAATCTTTTTTTAATTGTCCCAATATAGATTGTAACTTTCAGTATATACTTTTACAAATTTACTTGTTGATAATTTTAATAATGGCCAAAATTTTGCATTAGCAAAATTGTATAAGATAGAAAATAAGTAGGTAGTAATGTACTACATTCAAAGATAAATTATGTTATTTATAATGGATTGCATTGCTATAAATCATGTCACGTAATTGCAAAAGAATACCCACTGGCATAGTGGCATTTGGCACTTAGCTTGACAACAAAGTGGAAAGGATGGATGAGAATGATATTCTTAATTAAGACACAACCACAGTCTAGAAAGCAAGAACAAACAAAACTCACCAGCTGATGGTATAGCTCACAATTATTGATTTTATATACTTGTAGTAATAATGATTGATTGATAGTCAAGGGCAATTTTGAAATATTAATGTACATTTTTCCCAAAACATAAAAACTCCTTAAGGACCTTTTTTATTTTTGTGCAACAAAATTTAGAGATTATGCAATTTTGTTTTAGGTTGTCATGGATTAGGCTTCATCTATCGGTTTGATTTAATTTATTTTTGACATAAAGATTAGAGCATCTACCCTATCATCATTCAGTTAATCCTCTAATTTTGTATTACATTCTCCACTTCACATGTAAATGAAGCTAAGGTAAAAACTATAAGGCTAGGCCATATAAGGTTTATTATTTTATCTCATCTCAATTATAGTCTCAAAACAATCATTGTATAATTAGAAACTAATAAAGCTTAGCTAAGCTACCCAAATGGGCAACAATCGCTGTATGATTGAAAATGATTTTACATGTAATTCGCCTAACTTTCTTTCCTACTCCATAACCGTAATATGAAGTACTAAGTATAAATCACGAAAAATGATGGCCCATTTCTACCAATATTGAGGCAAAATAGCCCAATTTGGGGCCCAAAATCCAGCCCTTTTATCTTCTAAAGGAAATGGGGTCCCGCCAATGTGAGAACCATTGCACACAACGGCTACTTCCATTTTTCACATAGCCGTTAAGTTGAGTTGCCAAACTGAAATTCAAAATGGTAACAAACAACTTCACCAAAAATCATTCATAACATCTCTCCTCAAACTTTTATCACTCAGAAATTGTAATAGAATTAAAGAATAGATCTTGTAAAAGAAATTGAAAATGGGGTACACTAATACATATACGCCTGCATACTATTCATCTCTTCAGGATTCAATCACTTCAATCTGTAAATCAATCCTTCCTTTCTCTTTAAACAAGCGAAGATTGACAGCAGCTGAACAGAAGCTATCCAAACAACAATCTGATAATCTTAAATGGCAGCAGAATTCATTCCATCAGATCCTCAATTTAATTGGTCTTCACAAAGAAGGCCTTTTACCAGATACCGAGGTTTCCGCTTTCAGAACTCATCTCCTTGATACCCTCATTGCTTCCAAAGGAGCCGACAAGGAACAGCCCCAGATTTTGAGGGATAAGCTCCTCTTTCTCCAGGTTTCTTCTTATTCATTTGTTTGATTTTATTGAATTTTGCTATAATGTGTCTCAACCGAATTGTTTCAGAAATTGAATTTTGTTGGAATCATTTCCTATCACAAGATCTGAAATTGCATTTAGAATTGTGTGCTGCTTTCATATTAATGTTAATTGAATAAACAGGAGCTGCTGTATGCAAAATGCATATCTGCAGAGGAGTATCATGCATCAAAAAGGCCATTGCTTCAGAGATTAGCAGTACAAGGGGCCGAGCTCGAGGCTAGAGACGTGATTGTCGGAGAACGAAAAGAAACAGATTCTCCGGAGGAAGAGGAGTGGTCGGTCATCGATTTGAAAGACGATCAGAGTTTGATAAACAAGGATAATTCTAGGTCCAAAAACAGATCTAAGCATGGGTCATCAACAGTGAAACACATCAAAGATGCAGCCTCAGTTTTCGGGTTAGGGTCTTTACAGAAACTGGGTAAAAATAGACCGCAGAAGAGCATATTTGACCAATTACCAGTTGATACTGCAAGCATATCTAACAAAGAGAATGAGCCAATTGATGAAAACCCATTTTGGAATATCAATAATCACAATGAGACTGAAAGTGAAACTAAGTCTATTCTTATGTCAGCATCAGACTCTGATAAATTTGGCAAGGAGGAATGTCATGGAAGTGGAAAAGGGAAGAAGACTGCATTCCGAAGTCTGTTCCAGGCAGATAAATCGGAGGAAAAAGACTCGAAATTTACGAAGAAGCAATGGGGATTTGATGGGTTCAAAAGATGGAAGAGGAGTAATGTGGAAGATGAAACAACTCCTGTGCCCCTGACTGAGAGATCACGTAATGAAGGTCCTGATACTAAGCAAATCAAAAGAAAGCTTCTTTCTGATGGTTCTTCATCTGGTTTTTACATTGATAAGGTAACACTAAGAGATAACAAGATTACAATAAAAGTTGAAAAGTGAATCAATTTTCATACTAGATATGCTATGAACTTGCAGGTTGTAGGGGATAACATAAGGAAGGAGTTGTTGCGAATTCAAACTCAACTGTCTAGCACAAATCCCAACTTTCATTTTTCGTATGTGTTGTTTCCGACATAGGCTTCATTGTACATTCATTTGTTGTCTTGTTGCTTGGGATTTGTTTTACTCATACTCATTGCTGTAGGAATGATGAAATGGATGTTATATCCACAAAGCTGCCAGTTGACAAGTCTGATCTTAAGCAGTACTTCCCCAAGTAAGGCTTAAGAAAAATACTTCCATATGCATTAGCATGACTATATCCTATCTTAACAATAATGCTCATGTGTGTGAATGCAGGTCCTGGTGTGAACGATATGGTGATGTGGTGTTGGATGTGGTGAAGAAGGAATTCAAAGATCATGTCGGGGAGATGGAAAATATGCGTCATGCTACCTGGGAGAGGAGGTGCACCAGCTCAAAGAGATGGACAGCTTTCGAGGATGATGAAAATTGCCATCCTAATCGCGTCTCTCCTGCAAACCATAAAGCAAACTCCATTTTCTAATACAAAACAAGAAGATTTTTGGTCTACGCAAGGCCATGTTTGTGGAAGGGTTAATCTGTATAACTCTTTAATCCTATTAGTAAAATATGTATATCAACTATTTTATGGAAATCTTTAGCCTCAATTTAATCTCTGTAATTGAGGAGGATAAGTTAGGTAAAACCCTAATTATAGGATTTCTGAATTTGTAATTTTAATTTATATTTATATACATTTTAATAAAAAAAAATTAAAAAAAAAAAAAGCTGCCCTTAAAAGTTATGTTGGATCTGGTATTTCTTGTAATTCGCATTTGCAGGAAAAAACTCACAAAATGATGAACAAAAATAGAGAAGAAAGCACATATACATTATACAATAACGAATCAAGGTGAAAGTGAAATAAAACAGCGGAACCATTATGGCTTTAGATGTACTCATTACATGACTGCAAAGGAAGATATTTGTTTACATGGACTTCACTTTTAAACAACCAACATTATTGATAAAAACAGAAAATTAAATTGTGTACATTTGCTTATATTTACATGAAAATGTGATTGATAAATTCGTCGATGGTATAGTCAGACTAACATTTGATTAAGGTATTACCAAAATTTGGTATGAAAGATTTTGTCTATAATAGGTTCAAGTAATTAAGCAGTTCTTTATACAAGGATTTATGAGAGATCTTCATTCGAGCTGGATGCAGCGACCTCTGTGGCCCCTCCTCGAACATCTCCACGACAGAGTGGACATACCCTACAATGGGGCAAGTTAAACATTAAGTCAAATGGACAAGGAATACAGTATGTTGAAACTGCCATTATGAAAATATGGAAGCAAGGAAATACCCATGAATCTCTTTCAGCCATTTATCAACACACGACATGTGATACGCATGGTGACAGGGAAGAACTCGTATTTTATCACCTTTCTCATACTCCACCAAACAGATATAGCACCTAAACATATCAAAATTCAAAAAAAGAACGTTCATCATCCCTCTCTAATCAAACAACAAGGAAGCTGATTAAAACAAATATATGAAGAAACTGCAACTTACTGATCTACATCATCTCCGTGATCAGCTGTAATAGGTTTTTCATACGTTTTAATGGGAAGTGAGTCCACAACCGATTCAGGAGCAGGGACTGAAAGCATAGACAGGGAAAATGACTCTGGCTGGCGGTGAATTTCATCCAAAACCTTGCAATTTACACAATTATATAAAATGTATGTCAGATTGTCAGCCATAAAGAGTATATAAAGCTTCACACATTCACACTGCAGCATATAAGTTATATTAGAACAAACAGAAAATTTGCAACTTGTTCAGCTCCAACAGCCTGCCACCACTCTATCATTTGATGAAAGTCATGTAAAGAACCAGAACAGAAGCAGGGGAACAAAGTCAATTTCAAACAGGTGAAGAAAAAGTTCAGCAAGTGTACACTAGAATACTTTGATATTTTGCAATGCTCATACTGCAATAGAAACTAATGCAATATTACCAGTTCTGATATGTATAAAACTACCCACTCTCTTTTATAAGGCCCCAAGGCTTTTCGAGATTTCAATCGATCACTAATTCTCTCAAAATATAATTATTTAATAAATAAAGGTACCTGTATGCTAAACTAATATCATCATAACGCCTCTTTTTAGAACTTTTCCAATATATTTTCTGGTAACTATAGGTTTAAAGGTCTTTCTCATAAATAGCATGTTAAGTCAAAAATCTCCAATGACGTTCACGAACTAATTGCTTTCATAGCTCATTTTACTCTGCCAAAATCAGATATCCACCTCAATGAAAAATCATATATCAGCTATGAATTAGTCAAGCATCGATTTTAACAGACAGTGCTCAACTCTTACAACAGAAAGACTTCTGATTTCTCTATCAAAGGTAAAACAAAGATGCAAGGTAGCATTACATTCATTAGTATCGACACAATGAGTGTGAGACACAGAGCATAAACTGATAAAACAGGGGGACAGTTTGGTCCAGAACAAAATTTAACAAAAGGCAGCTCAAGCAAATAAATGATGATGAGACAGAGCATAAAGTGATAAAACAATGGGACAGCACAAAAATTGTTGCAGAAAAACATACTTCGTATTTTAACATAAGGCAGCTCAAACAAGTAAATGACCATATCAGCATCATCATGTAAGCAGAAAACAATATTATTCAATATCTCACAGACGAAGATATAAGATATCTGCTGTAAGGATATACTCTTAACCAAAGATACAAAAGTTCTCTCCCAACGAGTAAAACAGTAGTAAAATATCAGCAGTTTTAGATGTTGACAACATGAAATGTCAACCAATACGGAGTATATAGACATACTTCAGTAGCAACAAAAAGAATACATTATAAACAAATATACCTCAAATAAAGCCTCGGCAAGCAGGATAATTCTAGATATACTTGAGAGTGCATTAGCCTCTTCATCCAACTCACACGTGCATGAACCATCAGAATGCAAATCAAGCGGACAAAATGTACGATGACTACTCTCTGTAGCAGTACCTCGCAACCTGTCCCAGAACTGCTAGGAGGTTGAAAACAATTGTTGAAATAACTAACAGTGGGAATGCCAATCACACTTAAGCATGTACTGAACACAAAAAACAAAAAATAATAATTCGGGGTGGGGGGGGGGGTATGATAGCGTAAATATATCCTTACAGCATATATCTTTCATAATAAACATAAAGTAGTGAACCCAAAAAATCTCCCTTTTTTGGAGGTTTGATAGTTAAATATCATTGTGCACAATTCAGAAGTTGCAAAACCAATACAAGCAATGTCTTTCATGAGCAAGAGGGGATACAGATGCTCACCTCAGATCTTGAGTTCCGGCGACGATCATTTGTAAAGCGACTTCTCCGGCCGAAGCGCCAAGGCTCAGCACCAACACCATCATCAAAAAAGTCATCACCGATATCAAGAAGCCATCTGCGATGAGATCCTGCTAGATCAGAATCCTCGGTTGTGAAAAGTATGGCTGGAAAATCAGGATTTCTTCTTGAACTGCGACTTGTAAAGGCATCCCTAAACATTCTCCTGCTGTTTCTTCTTGCTTCGCGGGTGCTTATTTCGTTGTTGATGTTGGGCAAATGATTAGATGAGGAGATACTCACCACATCAACATGAAGTACATTTCCTTCTGGTTGAACTTCAGCCCTATCTGACACAAAAAGCTCTAATCCTGGGGGTATTAACTCTTGAATGACTTCATCTCCACGAGCATGAGAAGCTATGCCAGGGTCAGAAACAACTGGAAATGGACCAGATTCAGTACTTTGGCTTCCAATAACCTCACTAACATCTTCAAAAATGGTGGACGGTTCAAGCTCCACGTGCTGCAAACTAGGAGACAAGACCTCATTACTAGTCTGAGGTGTATCGTTGATAAATTCATCAATCTCACTGGTTGCATGCCTGTTGGGACTAACACTTAAGTGTTGTAGGTGTCCTGCAGAAGAGGACTTTACAGAATCAACCAATCGCTGTTGATGACATTTGCTTTCAGCATTTACATCACAAGGAACAACTTCATCACCTTCTGAAAAGCACTTCTGTTTATTAGATGATTCTACATTTGAATCATCATGAATCGAGGTGCACTCAATACCTAGAGTACTGCTCTCTGATGAGGCTACCAGTCCAGATCTAGGACTGGAATTGCTGCTAAACCCGGTTCCCGCACTAGAAGTTGGAATGGAATCATCTGTTGGGATTGGGGACTTGTTAGCTTTCTGTTGACTGTAATCCCTAGAAGTTAGTACAGATCCGGCAGCACAATCTTCCCACTAAACAATGCAGCAAAAAGGTTGAGTTATCATCTCCACCGTGATGTATAACACACATCTTAGTCTAGAGCATTAAGTATAAAATCAAAAGAAATATATGCAAAAAGATGTCAAAAAAACCAAGATCATAAGGAACTATGACTAAGAATAATACCATCACCCCAGAAAGCTCACAAGGAAAAAAATTGGGAGAAGATAGAACTAAACTCCTAAATAAAAATCGGTTGTCATGTAGTAAGCCAGGACATTGCCGTACCTTTTTCTCTGCATCGGCCAGCACTACAGCAGTGAAAGAATAAGGAGTCCAAACAACTGAACTCAAAGAAATAAGCTTCAAGGCATGCAGCAGATAAACATTTATCCCAAAAAAGGCTTCATGACCTTTAGGGAGAAATTTCAAATACCTCAGTTAATGCTCAAGGAAACTTGAAAAAAAATCAGAGAATGACCAAATAAATCAAGATGCTATAAAGAACACATTCAACATCTTCCAAAGATAGTCACAATATTATAATTTACACTATACACCATTTTGAGCTATAAACATATTATCTAAGTATTAATAAAGCTAGAAATAGCACAATCATCCTCATCTTTTAATCACAACTTCCTATCAATTTCCAATCTTTCCTACCAGTATGACTTTTATGCTGGATTACCCAATTCAACATCCAATCAAAATGATAAAACCGGCTTAAATTTGTAAGAGAACCTCATAAAAAATTCTCGACCCCCAAAGCACTCCAAGAAATGGATGGTAATGGTATAAAATCCCATCAAATAAAAAATTAAGATTACAAATTAAGCGATTCCGAAACTATAAAGTTACAATCTTTGGAATAATCTAAATAATCAAACCCACCAACATAGAGCAAAAAAGCAACGATCTTGCTAAAACTTAAAAACAAAACAATTGGAACTCAAACAAAAAGGGGGTAAAAGTAAAAAACCTGAGGAGAAGTAGAAGAAGCGCCGCAAAAGAGAGAAGCAAGCCTTTGTTTGGTACGGTTGACTTTGCTGCGCCTAACAGTTGCAGCTGCCGGGGGAGAACCCAGATGACTGCTGCCTGAACCCATTTTCTGTTCGATGAGAGAGAATTTTTTTGATTTTTAGGAGAGAGAAACTAAACTAAATTATGTACTTGTATTTGACAAAGCTGCAACGAAATGAGCTGAGCACAATCTAGGAACAAGCCGGATCCCTTTTTCTTTTCTTCTTTTCTTTTTTGTGCTTTTCTTTAGACACAGTAATATTTCAGACATTTTTATTTAGATTTTTCTTTTTTTATGGGATAAGGTTTTGCGCAATTGTGCCCTCATTTCACTTGATTGAATGAAGGGTGTAAAAAGTTCAAAACTTACAATTCATTACTAGGTGTGAGTTCTTCTAATTTGCCTTTTAACTTTTCTTGGGTGTTAGGGACTAATTGTGGTGAGAAGTTTGACTATTTAGCTTATCGTATGGCAAGAATAATACAAAGCACTTTGAGGTCTTTTGGGGGTAAGGAAATCCCACTCCAAAGTACCTCTAGTGGAATTCGATCCCACAACTGCTACATCGGGCTTTGTTTGGTTATAATTTCTTAATTGGTTGAATATATGCATTCATCATTTATTGATTCGTGTTTTGTAAATAATAATAATTAATAAACGATTTTGTCATACACAAGTGAAATTTATCTTATGAAAGTTTATTTAAGGATAAGAGTAATAACTTTTTATATTACATATACTATTTAAATAGATAGTTTTAAAATGAAGATATGTACTTTGTGCTTTTAACAAGCTCATTGACAAACTTACTTCAAAATAGAAATGTAGCTTCAAATATTTTTAAAATGGTAAAGGTGAAACAAGAAATCAATATTGTATTCTTTATATGTAAATTGGAATATAACACAATTGTTACGTGTTTAATATGCACCCCTTATTGAGTTAAGGAGATTTTCAAAGTTTAGTAATTGGTTTCCTTTGCTTAATCCTTACAATAACAGTGCTCTATATTATATTCATATAATTTCATATGTATACTTTCATGTTATAATTACCGTATAATTTTGTTTAGTGTTAAATATTAAAAAAATTACCCGTAGTTGTTTCTAGTATGACATACCTAACAATCATAGACAATTTTATATTATATTTATTTAGATATAAACAAATAAATAACAATGAGACGATACTAATGACTTTGATGAGGCTAAAAAAATAGTGGTTTCAAATGAGTAGTGACGTGGTTAGGTAATTGTCTTCTTTGTCAAATAGATTTGTACTCTATCATTGTATGTCCTCTTTGTAAAAAAAAAGAAAAAAAATTGTGTAGTGACGTGATTAGGTAATTGTCAAATTGAAGTAGTGAGTCCCCACGATAGTCGCGCACGAATAGAATACAAAGCATCTCATTCCTGGAAGCTGTATAAACTAGAGCCACACCCACACGGATGGTACTTTATTACTTCCAAGTTCCAACCCATATTTTGATATTTAGTATCAAATTCTCTGTCATTTTTTGTTTTTTAATTAAATTTTTTATATCTTATAAATAATACCTAAAAATTGCATATATTTCGTAATATATCACGGATGAAGGTAGTAATTTGTGTATTCATAACAACTTTATTAATTAATCCCTTTGTCCACATCATTACCTTCTTAATTATAATGCACTGAACTTGCTTTTCCTTTTTTATTTTCTTGTACTAAACAACCTGCCTACATTATTATTGCCTTTTATTTTCTTGTATAACAATGTATTATATACATAAATACATAATACATTATTATCATTTGTAGTTGACTAAAGTTATGGAATATTACTTGTGAAGTCTGGATCTGCACTTAATATAGTAACATTATTAAGCAAACATCCCAAATAACGGTACTCGTTCTTGTAATTATACAGCTATACAACTAGTACAAGTGGCTTAATTGGCTATATCGTACCGGAAAATGGCTGAAGAATAGATCAGAGTTACATAAGTGTGAATACTACAAAGATTTTTTTAATTGTGCATTATCTTTTTTCTTTTTTTTTTTTTTTTTTAATTGTGCATTATTTTGACACTTAGTAGTAATTGTAATAAGGTTTACAATGAGTTTGATAAAAGAGAGAGTTTAGAGTGGTCGATGTTTTTTTTCTTCTAGTGTATGAGTATTGGCATCATATAATAACTTGGAAATGTCTCCTAAAATTCACTTTATTTATAATTTTGGATCATCACTTCTTATAAGGGTGTGTTCTATTCACCTGATTTTCACTTATTTGAAGTTTCAAATTTAATTGAACTTAACTAAACTTATCTGAACTTATTAAAACTTATTTTAGTTGTAATTTGAACATGGATAACCCTTATCAGAACTTATTTTTCCTAAACTGAACTTATTTTTTCTGAACTGAACTTATCTGAACAAATTTTAACTTAATTGAATTTATTAGACCTGAAATAAGTGAAAATAAGGTAAACAAAACATACCCTTAAACCTTGTTTACAATGAATCATGCATTAGCCCCCATTCGAAGGTACTCCCTAATATGTATTATAAAAATTGACCTAATTAAAAATCCCTTTAAATTTGTAATCAATCTACTATTGTGTTAATTACTTTTACTTCATAGTATGTATTTAAACCATGCATAAGACCCAACTCAAACACGGTGATTATCAACTTTCTTAACACAATAATAAAAGGTGGACTATCATTTTAAGGTTATCATTTTATAAATGTCATCAAATTGTAAAAAAAAAATAATAGTAAATGAGCTATGAACTATTAGCTCTTCTATATTTGTATAGTTGTATTTTTATTTTGTTTTAATAAGAAATGTGGACAAAAAATTGTATCATTTTTTCTCAAAACTATTCTCAAGCTCATAGCGTAAAATAAGATAAAGATCGGAGTAAAATAAATGATTATTTATAAACGGGGTTGTATCTCAACGTGTCCAAACATATTAAGCAATAGGAAATGAAGATTGGTGAATGAACCATCGATTTACCCCAAAGATGCCCTTGGATCTACAATTAGTAGTCTAGAAAATGAGGATATTTAAGTAATTGTAGCTAATCAAAAGAAGTCCTAGAATGTGAAACACGTCGGTGGATCAAAGATGCAAAGACCTACGTTATAAACTGCGCCCCGACTCACTCTCTCTCGCTATCTCTCTCTCTCTCATCTCATCTCTGCGAATTGTATTCAGAAAATTCGCATGTTACTCTAACATTTCTTCCTCCATTCCCTCGTCGGTGCATGTCAAATTTCAGTCTCTAAAGGTCAGTTAGATCTGTAATTTTCTCCTGCATTTCTTTCTTCTCCAAATCTTTATATCTTTCTTTTCCTTGCTTAGACTTAATTGATCTGATCGTGACCTAGGATTTTGTTATTTAGGGTTTACATCATTAGATCTCGAATCCATAATCTCACTGATTAGGAAAACCCCAATCAATTTTGGCTAATTAGTCCAATTTCTGATCTGGGTCTGCCAGATCCGACGAAATATGGGGTCTTTAGGTAAATCAATGATCTTGGTAGTTGTGATTTGCTTGATATTTGAATCTGGAAATGGGTTTTATCTCCCTGGTAGTTACCCTCACAAGTATGGAGTTGGGGATACACTTTCAGTGAAGGTGAATTCTCTGACCTCAATTGATACTGAAATGCCGTTTAGTTACTACAGCTTACCCTTTTGTAAACCCCAAGAGGGTGTTAAAGATAGTGCTGAGAATCTTGGTGAGCTTCTTATGGGTGATAGGATTGAGAACTCACCTTATAGGTTTAAGATGTACACAAATGAGACTGAGATCTTTATGTGTAAAACTAGCCCTCTTTCTGCTGATGAGTTTAAGCTCCTGAAGAAGAGGATTGATGAGATGTATCAGGTTAACTTGATCCTTGATAATCTCCCCGCCATTCGCTACACCAAGAAAGATAATTTCTTGTTGAGGTGGACAGGTTATCCTGTTGGGATTAAGGTTCAAGATGCTTATTATGTATTCAATCATTTGAAGCTTACTGTTCTTGTTCGTAAGTATGAGGAAACCAATGTGGCTCGTGTGATGGGCACGGGCGATGCTGCTGAGATGATCCCTGGAGGCAATGGTGTTGGTGGATCTGGAGAGCCTGGTTACATGGTTGTTGGTTTTGAGGTTGTGCCTTGCAGTGTTCAACATGACATGAATGCGATTAAGGATTCTAAGATGTATGATAAGTACCCTGGGAAGATTAATTGTGATCCTGCAACCGTGTCAATGGCAATTAAGGAAAGTCAACCTATTGCTTTCACTTATGAGGTCTCATTTGTGGAAAGTGATATTAAGTGGCCATCTAGATGGGATGCTTACTTGAAGATGGAAGGTTCCAAGGTTCATTGGTTTTCTATCCTCAACTCCTTGATGGTGATCACTTTCCTTGCTGGTATTGTTCTTGTGATCTTTTTGAGGACTGTTCGCCGAGATCTTACTCGTTATGAGGAATTAGATAAGGAGGCTCAAGCTCAGATGAATGAGGAATTGTCGGGATGGAAACTTGTGGTTGGTGATGTCTTCCGGGCTCCTAGCTATCCGTCATTGCTCTGTGTTATGGTTGGTGATGGTATTCAACTTCTTGGGATGGGTGTTGTGACAATTATGTTTGCTGCTCTAGGATTTATGTCACCTGCATCTAGGGGAACTCTTCTCACAGGTATGGTGTTTTTCTACTTGGTTCTTGGTATTGCTGCTGGGTATGTGGCTGTTCGATTGTGGAGGACTATTGGTTGTGGGGATCACAAAGGATGGGTTTCTGTCTCTTGGAAGGCTGCTTGCTTTTTCCCAGGCATTGCCTTTTTGATATTGACCTTCTTGAATTTCTTGCTGTGGGGAAGTCATAGCACAGGAGCAATCCCATTCTCTCTCTATGTTATCCTTATCTTGCTCTGGTTTTGCATCTCCGTTCCTCTCACCTTAATTGGTGGTTACTTTGGTGCAAAGGCCCCTCACATTGAATACCCTGTGCGAACTAATCAAATTCCCCGGGAAATTCCACCTCAGAAATACCCTTCATGGTTGTTAGTCCTCGGTGCTGGGACCCTTCCGTTTGGAACCCTCTTCATTGAGCTTTTCTTCATCATGTCTAGCCTTTGGATGGGCAGAGTTTACTACGTTTTTGGGTTTCTCTTCATTGTTCTGATCCTCCTTGTCGTTGTGTGTGCTGAAGTCTCACTTGTTCTAACATACATGCATCTCTGTGTTGAGGACTGGAAATGGTGGTGGAAGTCTTTCTTTGCCTCTGGTTCAGTGGCGATATACATTTTCCTGTACTCCATCAACTACCTCATATTTGACCTCAAGAGCTTGAGTGGACCTGTGTCTGCTACTCTCTACTTGGGATATTCGCTCTTCATGGTTTTGGCCATCATGTTAGTCACGGGTACTGTTGGATTCCTCTCCTCATTCTGGTTTGTTCACTACCTTTTCTCCTCCGTGAAGCTGGATTGAAGCAATTTGTCATGCCATTTCAAGGTTTCTTGCAGATTTTGTAGGGGTATCTTTCCTGGTGAAAGATGGATGTTCAACCTGCTCCTTTAATAGATACTAGTCATATTACCCTTTTCAGATTTACTAAATTTTTAGGGAATTTGATGAAAGATTTGTAATAATAACCTTAAGTTTGATTTGTTTTATTACATGGAGATACCTGCATGAATTTACATAGTTTCCTTGCATATTTAGGGTCTTTTTGCTTCGTCTAGCATAACATGGGACGCTTCAGTGTATTTGAACTTGAAATTTAATAGAAATGAGGAAGTTGAGTTGTTTTTGTTTTTAAATTCTATTGTATGATGCTATCTGTCTCATATGCTGGGTCTACGTATGAAGCTATAGCTGATACACATGTTGGGGACAATCTATGTCAATTAATGTGTTAGTTGTCTCCATTACCCTACTCCTGCTATTGTGTGCTTCCACAAGCGTGCATTATGTTTGGATGTGCATTATGTGCTGTGCTGTACTATCGTGGACAATCGAATGATTTGCCCAACCTCCGGGATTGCTGTGCTAAGCTATAAATGGATCCATCACTAATTAGCAATATTCTAGCTATCATTTGCTTCAAAATAAAACAAATTGTATCTAATACTCACTGGAACTTGTGATCAAGTATGGTAGAGAAGATCCTCTTGAATTCCTGGTATTGAATTTGAATGATGTTTGCTGAATATAAAGTAAATTAGGTTTGGCATTTACTAATTACTGCATGAGATTAAGTTGTGGAGCACGTATAATTCACGTTTTCGATTCTGCAATGTGAAATCAGCATTATCCCCTCAACCATTCAACACTACTGGTCAAAAGCTTGTAAATTAATCAGATAGAATTTGTCCAACAAAAAAAGAGAATGATACGTATCTAATTCCTAAAATATCATATGCAGTAACTTGCAAGCCAAACTTGCTTTAGGACTTTCTACCTACTGAAAAAGTAAGTTAGACTTGCAAGTTGCAAGCTTGCAACCTGCAATGATTAATTACACTCAACTGTGATTGGGACGTTAGAATCATATCATGAGCAGACGAGAGTGTAAATAATTTTATCTGGCTGTTAGCTATTTAGCTAGTGAAGGCAAATATTATTGCAACGAATTTAAATTAATCATGCTCAGGGGTGAATGATTGTCATGATATGGATTGATCAATGTGTTCTTTTCACGAGGCAATAATGATGTGGACCAAAAATAGTATGTGGGAGGTACGGTTTGATCCTCTAATCATCCAAGATGGAAAGTGGTGGCGGAGTTGGCCGGTGATAATCTTACCTTCCACTCTGGTTAGGGCGGTGACAGGGCGCAAGGACTTTCTCGCGATAAGGCCTCTAAGTGAGAGAGTGAGAGGTAATTATAGCCAAGACACAGCCTCTTGGTTACGGGTTAATTTTCTGTTATTAAGGCTTGATAACAGTAATAAAATATCATGGATAGGATGAAACGAAGTATAAGCACTTAAATTATCTGGTGGTCGTTTTCAATTAATTTTAGCCACTCCTATACAGCTATCCTCCTCTTCTGTCCCCACCCTCTTTTTTTTGTTCAGTAAAACACCATAGCCAAATGTACCGTGAGTTGGTGATTGATTAGCTATGTTGCTGAAATCATTACCCTGTGCTTCTCACTTGGATGCCACAAGAATTGCTACTTGTCAAACTCCATCTTCTTCTTCCCTCTTCTATACTTGTACTTCTTCCTCCCCTTCCCACCTTTCTCTTTCCTTCTCTGTTTCTTCTATTTCAACCTCTCTTCCTCTTCGAAATCTTCGTTTCCGACATGAGCCTCTTCCTAAGAAATGCATCCAAAAGGTCAGAATTCGCAGCTTTTCTTTCTTTTTTTGTTGCTCACTGACACTTGAGTAGCTTTTTCATCATGTTGACTCTTTGTGTATGCCTCTTACAGAAATTGCAGGTGAATTGCGCCATCAATGAGCCTCTTAAGGTTATGATTTCAGGAGCACCAGCTTCTGGTAAAGGAACCCAATGCGAATTGATTGTCCAAAAGGTGAATCATATCCTTGCCTCCGTTCCTAGATCGTCTGTCTGAATTAAATTATTCGCAATTTTGATGGACATTTAAATCGATTTCAGTGACTTTTTTAATAGGTTGCGGGTATGTTTTATTCATTTTATATATTATTATTGTTAATACACTACTAGTATTTAGAATTGGGGTAATTTGCTGTTTTAATATAGTATAAATTCTTTAATGGTATTTGATCCTAACTTCAGAATACATTTTTTTTTTTGTTCTTTCACCTGTAGTTTGGACTGGTTCATATTTCCACTGGAGACCTCCTGAGGGCAGAAGTGGCAGCTGCCACTGAAATTGGGATCAAAGCAAAAGAGTACATGAACACAGGCCGCCTAGTCCCTGACGAAATTGTCACAGCTGTATATGTTTTTATTTCAAATTTTATGTCATGGATTTTTACCTGAGTTATAACTTGTTATTTTGAGAAGAGAAATCATTACACTTGTTGATAGATGGTTAAAACGCGACTTTCCCTTCAAGATGCGAAGGAAAAAGGTTGGCTTCTGGACGGGTATCCACGGACCTCAGCTCAGGCTCAGAGTCTTGAAGAATTGGGAATCAGACCAGATGTTTATATTGTGCTAGAGGTATAGCTTTGCGCCATACTATTCTAACACGATCATTGTCTTATAAGAATGATCCCTTAATAGGCGTTTATCAATAAAAATTAAATTCTGTCTCATGCAAATTAGTAAGTCATATTACTAATGAAAAATTATTGTTAACACATAACCTAGAAGAGAAAGTTTACACAGATTCGGCTCATGATACTCAGGTTCCTGATGAAATTCTGATCAACAGATGTGTTGGTAGACGGCTTGATCCTGTGATAGGGAAGATTTATCACATAAACAATTTTCCTCCTGAAACAGAGGAAATAAAAGAAAGACTTGTCACTCGCCCTGATGACACTGAGGAAAAAGTATGCACCTTTACCCATTGCATATCTTATTAATGCCTTAATATGAAATTTCTCAAATTGCACATTCATTGTTAGTTTCAGTCGACATTGTTGTTAAGTTTTAAGGAGTCAAGGTTTGTGATTATACTATACCTAATTAATTTGATTCACAGGGGGAAATCTAACTTAGAATCATCTTCACTCTCTTAATTCATTCAGTGAAACTCTCACAGGTATATTTAAGATATCACATAAAATTTTGTAGAGAGCTTACAAATAATAGTCAATCTTGCCTTTTTTTCATTATATGAATGATAAAGGCAATCACTCAAATTTTTGTAGTAAACTGTGTCCAAAAAAAAAAAAAAATCTAGCACTCACAAGGTTTGCAGCATAAAAGTGTCCAATTCCATATTGGAGTATGTACCCTTGGCATTGTGCTTTGAGGTGAAATTAGGTACCATGTAATATTTAACAAAATTTGGAGATCCTAAATGAAGTTGGCTTATTGTGAATGTCCATAATGCCTACTACTACACCTCCATAATAAAAATAACGTTGACAAGTATGCACGAATTTAACACTGATTTGATTGCTAGTTCGGCACATTGAGAAGGAATATCTACTGATTTTAATCTTAGGAATGGACCTAGAGTGTGCCAAAGTCTGTCTTTGTAGCCAATATTATCTACTACACGTCTACACCCTTCAATATACCCAACAGACTTATGAATTCCATTTCCAGGTAATATCTCGTCTGGAAATATATAAAAGAAATGTGGAGGCAGTCTTAACAACATATATGAATATAGTGAAAAAGGTACCTCAATTACTGATATCATGTAATTTTCTATTCTGCTCGCTCAAAGCTTAGAGCTTTCTGTACTGAAGTTTATCTAAGTTATGTTTGAGAAATTTAGATTGATGGAAATCGCCCAAAAGAAGTAGTTTATGGAGAAATTAATTCTTTATTGAGCAATGTAAAGGATGAAAAACTGAAGGCTTCCACCACAGGTGAGAATCTTGATTCTCTTTTTCACAGCAGTGATTTCTATGTCCCAGCAAAAGCTTCTCACTTGTTATTGTCAGTTTCAAGGGTGAACCTTATGTATTATGAGTGCTATCTTAATGATTCAACTTCATCGTGACATATATCAGTCTTGTGAGCTGATTTTTGTTTCCATCTAAAACTGTTGGAGAATTATCTAACATTCATGGAGCATTTTCATGCAGGAAATGCAGTAACTAAGAGCAGCAATTTCAATCTTGCAACTCCAAACAAGGTATTTAGCTCTTAAAGTTTTATTCTTCATCATCTCTCCCCTTCTTTTAGGTAATAAGAATACAAGGAATAGATCCACCCCATGTTTGAACTTATCTGTTACATTTGATCCCTCAGTTTAGCCTTTTTACAGGATAAGTGGAGAGGAATCCCTACAAGGTTAAATAATATTCCACATTCCAGAGAAATAAGAGAATATTTCTATGAAGATGTGCTGCAAGCTACACTGAGAGCTGTAAAAGATGGAAAAAGGAGACTGAAGGAAAGTTGTTTTGTCCAATCCCTTTCATTCCACAACTTTAAGAAAACCAGAAAACAATGTGTGCACTTTCCAAAGTACATTGAAACTCTGACCAACGACCTTTTCTTTTCTCCCATGTCCTTCAATTGATGATAATGGTTCACTTGCTAAACTATGGTTTTTCCTGATTCCTATCTTTAATCTGACAGGTGGAGATCAGTATTCCAGAGCTGGACCCATCTACGGTAAGCAACTTTTTTTTTTCTAAACGTCTTTTAAAAGCTGTGAAATTGATCATATTTATGTGATTTAGTAGGATGTTTATAGAATTGGGACTCTGATGGAGCTTGTTCGAGTCATAGCCCTTTCATTCGCTGATGATGGAAAACGAGTGAAGGTTGGTTTGTTTTCAATCACCCATGTTATAATCACCTCTCATTCTAATCCTTTTTCTAACTAACATTACCCTATACTTAGGTTTGTGTCCAAGGATCAATGGGTGAAGGTGCATTGGCAGGAATGCCATTACAGTTGGCAGGCACTCGAAAGATTTTAGAGTTCATGGACTGGGGTGATTATGAGGCCAAAGGGACTTTCATCAACATAGGTTCCATAGGTATTAGCAACATCAAAAATAGTTTTTTATGAACATATAATTCACTGTTATCTGGATTGCACCAAACCCTCTCACTAACCCTCCTTGCTCCCACTTATATGATGTTTGTAAGTTCAATGATTTATAACATGGATATCTTGTAGGTGGCAATGAGGTTGATGAACAGGATGACATGTTTATTCTAGTGGCTCCTCAGAATGCTTTTGGAAATTGTATCATTGATGTAAGGACCTTCATTTTTTCCATAAATTTATAATATACATTCAATGCCCCATGTTATCATCCTGTCCCTAAAATGATCTGTTATAATTGTCTGATGATATTCCTTTGCAGGATCTGAGAGCTATGACTGATGCTGCAGGGAGTCGTCCAGTTATTCTCATAAATCCTCGCCTCAAGGTTTAATTTCCTAACGCCATATTGCATGTTCTTGAGAGGAAACTTTTCAATAGTTTGTTGTAATTACCATTGATTATCCCCCCCTTCTGATGCAGGACTTGCCTGGCTCAAGTGGCATTATGCAGGTAAAAAGACCTCTTTTAATCTGTTTCTTTTTGCTTTTTTTTTTTTTTTTTTAATCAAAATCTAAACTTTTCACTATTCTGTTCTTCAAAGACGATGGGTCGTGATAAGAGATTGGAGTATGCCGAGTCATTTGAGAATTGCTACTCCTTTCGGCTTCTCTACTATGCAGGAACTCAGTACCCAATCATGGGTGCTCTCAGGTATTTTTGCCATGAACTTGTCATTTTGAAGTTTGAACTTAGAAATTTAAGTTCATGTTGCCAAAAAATTATGCATTATGTGGAGCAAGAAAATCATATGAACATGTTAATTCAACAGAATGGCGTATCCCTTCCCATATGAAGTATACAAGAGGGTAGACGAAGCTCCTGGAAAAGAAAAGTATGTCATGCTGTCCACATTTGAGAAGAAGCCAACTTCTGATGACATTAACAATGCATTCCTAGGGAAGCCAAGGTAACTCTGAATCTGTCTGAAAAAGAAGAGTGGCATTTAAATTTGATGATTTAACTTTGTACATAATTCGTATTATATTTTGTAAAATCCCGGTGACATTGGCTGATTACATTCTCATTGTTGTGTCGCAGAGAACTGAAGAATTCATCTGGTTTTTGGTAAGATCAGAGGAGAACCTGATATTTAACATGAAGTTCATTTTTGTAAGCCCCTTGATACTTACTTTTTTATGTTGCATTTTATTACAGGGGTTTCTTGAGTGCCATTCTGGGTTAAACATTAAACATATTGTAGCATCTTGCACTGTCTTATAGCGACCAATTACCTCCTCCACTTCATTGCCATATCAGTGTTCTGGTTTGGCAGAATACTCGTCTATAGAGGAAGGATTTAGTGTAGCATGATTATGTAAATGATGCGCCCTTAATTTCTTCACAAAATCACCTAGAATTGAGGGCATTTTTTACAGTCACATATACTTGTTATCTTATGCAGGGACTTGTGCCTCGTATTACATATAGATTTCTTATTCAAATTTAGTGAATAGTGGCAAATTATATGTTATAGATTTCTCTATTCTATTCTGTGTCTTTTGTCCAACGAACTGTGCTGGCTTAGATGATCATCCTAGGATCATGTAACCATTCTCCGATCCTGTAGTGCTTCATTGCTATGAGGTGAATGTGAATCTTCCTAAGCTAAAGTTTTTGGTTTAATTTGTGTGGAATAGCATATATTAACAGGCACACTAATTGTACCATGACTTTTCTTTTTGAATCAATTAATGAATGAGATGCTCCTTATGTTCCTACTCTCTTTTTCAATATTTATTATATGATTGATCATTTTCTAGCTAGATTTGAGTATTATAAGATTTGTTCTAGTATAGTCTGAATCTGATTGAACATCGACTATGAGAGTTAATCACAAATAATTAGAAAATTTTGGTGATATAGAAGTACGAGAGTAGTTGATGGATGACCCATAACCTAGCTACAAGGTTTTTTTCCGATGACTAATGATCTACAAGTCTAGAGACTTTGAATCTATTGACTCTATTCTCACTCCACTATATATTATACCCACTTCATTATAATTAAAGTTTTACTCAAGTATAATGCTAGTGTTTGCATGAGCGCACATGCATCAAAAATAACTAATTGTGAATCTGAGTTGTTTAACAAGTGGGACATTATTCAGGGAAAGCAATTGCTCAATGTCGAGTGCATATCAGCGAATCACCTATTGACAAACGAAGTGTATAGGAGGACAGAAGTGTAACTTACCGGGCATTAGAAAACTTTGTATTCCACTTAATTGTGCTAGTGGTACATTTAATACTCCGAAAATGTACCACTGAAATCACATTGATACATTTAATCAAAGTGGTACGTACGTTTTGTACTTTGAATTGTACCACTTAAAAACCAGTGTCATCCTATACACTTTCTAAGCACATAGGTGCTATGCGCTAATACTTATTCCTCAAGGTCAAGAAACGCATTAAATGCTACCAAAAATAAAATGAAAGATAAAAAGTTAGAAAATGCTATACATAGCCCTAAGGGCTACATATAAGAAGCTAAAAATGAAAAAAAAAAAAAAAAAAAAAAAAAAAAAAAAAAAAAAAAAACAAATGAATATATAACATTAATTACACTTATTTGCGTGTGATTTTGTCATGCATTCCTAAATTAATACCAAATTAAGAAAGTATTTAATGCTTATTTGAAGCCCTAAGGGCTACATATAACATTACCCTAAAAAGTTTAATCAACTATTTTACTTTTGAAAACTAACTAGTTTTTGGCTCGGGCAATGCCCCGAGTCATTATATGTATATTATAAATAAGCTTTTATAATAAAAAATTGAAAAATTTGCTTTTAATAATCCCACCTTTGACCGATTCGCTGTTAATAATCCCATCTTTTGATTATTATCTAATAATCCCACCTTTATAGGACATTCTCTTCTACTGGTCCCTTGTGACCTGTAACTTGTATGTTGGGTTTTTTTAAAATAAAATTTACTAAATGACATGTATCACTACACGAGTGGATTAAAAAAATATAAAAACTAAAAAATAATCAAGGCCACAACACTTCACCTCCTTGTTCGCCACCTCCCTCCTCACGCACAACACACACAACCACAGCAACCACCGCACTTTTTGAGCAGCAACCCGCAAAACTTCACCTCCCCGTTTGCCACTCTCCCCTTCACAGCCCGTACTCCCTCAACATCAACAGCGCAGAGCGTATAGCAGTAACCCAACCACCCCAATCACACATCGCAACCACCGTCGCGCCACCCATGCAACTCTTACGCATATCAATACCAACCCAAATTCAATCACCCAGCAAATTGTGATTATTAAAGCATCGCAACCCCAATGTTCGATCCACCATCGTACCATCAAATTCGCCCATACTCCCTGTGATTAACAAGAGCAGACGGTTTTCGTTGGGTGAGGGTGGGGAAGGGGGTTCCAGTAGTGGGAGGTGGGGAGGGAGGTTTTCGGAGGGTGGAGGGCGTGGGGAGGGGATGGATGACGGAGGGTTTGGGCTAGGGTGGTGTGGGGGTTTGGGGTTCGCTGGTAGGTTACTTTTGTTAAAAATAATTTATTCTTTAAACTAAAGTTCGGTTTTTTTTTATTTATTAATTTTATAAATCTATCAACTAATTATAAAGTGACACGTAGCACTTTAACCTGTTAAAATCGGTTACCAACAGGTAAGGGACCAATAAAAGAGAATGCATTATAAAGGTGGGATTATTAGATAATAATCAAAATGTGGGATTATTGACAGCGAACTGATCAAAGGTGGGATTATTAAAAGCAATTTTTCCTAAAAAATTATATTATAAATATAAACATAGATTAAATTAGTTACATTTACTTCAATACTCGTACTATTTAAATATATTTTTCCAATCATTGTTGAACATCAGAATATATTATCCAATATCTAGTATCTGGTTTAAAATTATTAATTTGCTTCGTTCGACTTCAAGTTTATGAATATGATTAATTATTTTAAACAAAACATTGTGTACATGAGATGTGCCATTGGAGTAGTGGTTGTGTCTTCCCATTAAGTTTTAATAATATATATAGATTTCAATAATTCTCATCCAAATAGGAACTAAAGTATTTGAAATTACCAAGAAAGACATATGAATTCCCAATATATTATTTCAAATTGTATTTAAATTTCATTGTTGGTTGACCAATTTAAAGTGTTGGTGCAAAGGTGCCAGCTTGTGCATATGCTTATAGATTAGTAATCAAGTTAATTAGGCCCCTTTACATTTAGATCTAGAGGTGATGATCTCCAGTTTAATTTCATGGTTACTTTAATGTGTAGTTCTAAAGGATTAAAATGTAAAATTAAACAGAAGTTGAAAGATTAAATAATCATTTAAGTTATGGTAGGTAAAATAGTAGAATCATCTCATATAGTCCTACTAAGATAATATACTCCGTATTGTACACCAATAATATGATATTATTATCTCCAGTGACTAGTTCCATACTTCCATCACACAATAAATATACGGAATAGTAAAAATTAGGCCAAATTAGAAAATAACACTTGCTAAAGACTCCGATTTTGATAATAACACCTATTGAAAAAAAAAGGTTTATTATAACACCTACAAAAATCCCAAAACTTTGGTTTCACCACCCACTAACGGACTTTTGGATGGAAACTGTTAGTGGGGCCCACCATGTACACGTGTCAATAAGGTATTGGTTTTAAAAAAAAAAGAAAATTTCAAAAAAAAAAAAAAAAAAAAACCTAACCCCCTAACCCAGCCAGCCCCACCACCGGCACCACCTGCCCCAGCCAAGCCAGCCGTCGGAACCCTCTTAACACCCAGCCAGCCCCTGAAACCTCCTCCCCTAACACCGAAAAACCTTTCCCTAACGCCGGCACCGCCCGATATCCCCTCCCCTAACACCAGCACCGCCCTAAACCCCCTCCCCTAACACCGACAACCCCCAAACCTCCTCCCCTAACACCGACATTCCCCTAAACAACCAATTCCGTTCGCCTCCACCGCGAAATCAACAGATCTAGGGCTTCTAAGGTCGATTTCGGCCGGTTTGAAGGTGAGGGGTGATACCAGGGGTGGTTTTCGGCGAGGGGGCGAAGGGGCTAGGTGGTTTTCGCGCGTGGGTGGGGGTGATTTTTCGGGGAGCGGGAAGGGGGAAGGGGATTTGCGGGGGGGCTAATGTCAGTGGGGGTGATGGCCAGTGAAGGAAGGGTTTCCGGCGGTGGAGTGACGGCCACCGGTGGTGGCTGGGTTAGGATTTAGGGTTTTTTTTTTAATTTTACTATTTGTTTTTATTTATCTATTTTTTTTAAACCAATACCTTATTGACAAGTGTACATGGCGGGCCCCACTAACGGTTTCCATCCAAAAGTCCGTTAGTGGGTGGTGAAACCAAAATTTTGGGATTTTTGTAGGTATTATAATAAAACTTTTTTTTCAACCGGTGTTATTATTAAAATCGGGGTATTTAGCAGGTGTTATTTTCTAATTTGGCCTAAAAATTAAGGATTTTAGTAAGAGAATAGAAAAACTCTGGCATGTTATAAAACTATGTATGAACAAATTCTAGTCTGACAACGTGGCTAAATATTGCGCACGTACATTAGAAAAACTTGATTAGTTGAGGGACTAATTAAGTAATTATATGGAGCTGCACTAGTACGAAGTACTATGTTAAATGGTTGGGCCCCCCAGCTCGACTTAGGACTTACTGTTGAAAATTCAATTCTTTCTTCATGGGATCTTCAATCCGCTAATGAATTCATAATTCATTACATTACATCATGTTTTTGTAATCAGTGCTTTATTTTTCTTTCTTTGACTTTTCTTTATCATTCTAATTTCTAACCCTATCAACACGTCAAATAGGTCGGCAAAGTTAAGATTTTACAGTTGATATTCATTTTTCTACTTTTTTTTTAATGAATTTTCTATATTTTAGGTCAAAAATTAATTTAAGTCCCGTGTCACGCACAATATATACTAATTTTCATAACAAATTATATTAATTCAATAATAATTTTTGTACCTCACATATTATATTGGTGATTGTTTAATGGTAAGATTAGATTAAGTTTCCTTATCAATAAGATTTTGTTGGTTGTTTAAATAGTAAGACAAAATAAAAAAATAAAAAATCAGAATAGAAAAAACAAATTGGAGGAAAAAAATTTCACCTCAAGATGACATGTGTCATGTCAAGATTTGCTTTTAGTATAGGTTTATAGATAATTGCATCCAATACCCTATATGGCTAGGCATACAGTCTAATAGATTAAGCAATTATTGGTAGATCATTTTTTTATTTTTTATTTTTTATTTTTTTTTGTTGTAGAAACAAAGACTTCTAACAACCAATATGATAGTTTTTGTTAGCAATTTGACATCAGAAACTCTTGTTTTTATAATAAAAACAGATACTAGTATTACCTAATTTAAAATCTATAGAGTGTAAAAGAAAATGAGTATTGCATCTTTTAATCACTAAAGTTCGAAGGCAGGACAACCTTACACGATTTTCTAATTTCCTTCCCTTATTAATGTCATTTTCCATCTCATAAAGTACTTTGTATTTTACCGTAAAGAATTTACCAATATTGAAAATAAAACGGCAAAACTACTTACAAAAACAATAGGATTGTACTCTTAAAATAGTATTGTAATTTAAATTTCGTTGTGGATATAAATGATGATGGTGATATGACTATGGATATATACACATTCATCCATAATCTAGATTATATATAACTACAAATGGTAAAGAAATTGAGAATAGAAAGGGACCTTAATTTGCGGCCTTGAAACTCAGTTGTACTTTGAGAATGGCATGTACAAAATTCAAGAATTGGTAGCTAAAAGGACAATGACAAGCAGAAGAGATCAAATGCAATAAACTAATAAACAAACCTTCATCAAAGTACATGGTTGCTTCTAATAACTCTCTGCTACTCAAGTCATGTATATTATAATTAACACTAAACAGGATCAAGGATGGTAAAGGCGCGTAATGCTTCTGCTACACCCACTCCTTTAACTGGTCTTTCAAGAATCAGTTATGCGGCAAGAAATAAAAGGGCATCAGCACCAAATCCTTTTACCACTATACAGTCTAACCATCAGAGATCACACAATATCTTGAGTAATTGCAGATGTTATATTGGTATGCTCTATAAATCTATAGCACTGACATGAATCATGAACATCTGCTACAATCCACAGACCAATATGCACTCTCACCATATTCAAATATAACCCCTTGAGCAATTTAGGTGACTTTAGATGTTCAGTGAGAAGATGCAACTCAAAAGCTGGAAAAAAGAAGATTCATCCAACATGATGATACTCTGCTTGGCCAACACACCAATCTCAAACACACTATAATAAACAAAATAATGAGCATCTGCACCAAATTCTCAAACCAATATATAATCGAACCATTCAATCACATCTCTCTGATTATAACATCATATGTGTCGATCCACAAAAGCAGTTGAAACTTGCAGATGATTATGATCAATGACAACATGCAAAACTAGATTACGCGAACAATATAGAGCATAATAGATTGTAAAAGGTTGAATTGAAGCCTTCTTTTAGAAAGAAGCACACAACTTTTATTCCAATACGCGAACGAAATACATAAAAAGATAGTGTTATTTCTTCTAAACTACTAAGTAGTTAACAATTGATCATCATACCCTACTCCATAACAACTAATCAATAACTTCTGCCCAAGAATCCTAATATTAGCCTACCTCCACCATAGAACATTACTCGTATATTACAATAAACTGCCATAATTCTGCTACTAAGAAAACAAATTAAGGTACCTAAGCTATGATTTCCTTCTAGTAAAAAATATCAAGGAAACCATAGAACACCGATGACGGGTCACCTACATCTTGCGGACAGATCAGAAACTGAATTTGATCAGTCGTTGTTTTGATGTTGTCGGCATCAAATTCTCAGCAACTAATTCGTTATTCTTGGACGATGAAATCACATCTTGAGCAACTTTCTGAAATTATTCTCCGCCACGCTTCTCCGGACCAAAGTCACCGGGAACGGGAGCGCGCTAGGGTGAGGCGAGGAAACCATGGAAGTTGTGCCAGCGTAAAGATCCGGAACCCTAATTTGGTTCTGTACAACATCCGGATCTGGACCTAATCGATTGGTGGAGCACATCTGTAACCCTAAATCAAGATTTTCTCCGCCGAACAACAATCTGGCCTTTAATTCTTCGCCTCTCTTGAGGATCTTGACCTGGCCCATGACAGGCGTCTTTAATGGCGGCGATGAAGAGAAAGAATCAAGATTAGGTCGGCGATTACCGTCGGAAGGACTCCTTTTGCGACGACGAGAACGAAAAGAGTGGTGGTTTCTAGGGTTAGGGTTGGTGTTTCGTAACCGGCGAGGGGGGAATTGATCTTGAATGAAATTTTGAGGTTGAAGAATCGCCGCTGTTGCCATTTTTAAAGGAGAGATGAGAGAGAACAAAGAAGGACAAGGTCTTTTGGTTTTTTCAATTTTAATTTGATTTTTGAAGGAGGATTAGGTTATTTATAGGAGATGTTATGATTTTATTTCGAGTTCGGTTTCCTTTTTTAAATTATTTTATTTTCCATAACGCGAAGTAGGAACCGCCTTCTTCACAATTGTTCCTCACGCGCGCTATTATTGGCCGAGTTTACGACGTCTGTGTTGGCTGACGTGTCCTCTTACACGTGTTATCGAATTACCCAACAGTTCTAGATTTTTCAACTGAATTGCTAAATATCGCCTCTAATTTATCACTACCATCTTACCTATTGACCTATTTGCCCTTCCACTCTTCTCTTTTCAATGTCCTCACTTGTCACCACCACCACAAATGCCTACCCTTCCACAACATCACCTTGTTTGATCACTTGTTTGTTTATCACCTAGATAAATCATAAATGTATAGTAAGAAAAGTTTATTTAATGGCAGTTCAGTAGATAAAGAGTCTTGATATTCGTACTACCATATTAAATAAACTAATTCCACCACTTTGTGCACTGAACAGTTGCATACAGGGAGCAAGTTGACGACGTTTTTTTAGAGATTAGAGATAGAGGAGAAAAAAAAAGGATGAAGGTTTATCGGAAATTTTCAGCAAAGGGACGAACTTAATTACCAAAAATTCCATGAAAACTAAGACTATGTCATTATTTTAAACCGTTTTTGAAAATTAATCAAGAATTTAGATAAAAACAAGCATTGATTGAATTGTACCCCTTAAATTGTCTCATTAATAAGCTGACATTCTCTTCCTCTATTTGTAGAAGCTTTATCTTCCTCCTATGTGCACGACAAACACTCTACCTTGTCGGGGTTAACCGTTCCCTATATTTTTCTTAGGATTTCTTAAGGTTCGGAATCCTCCAATGTTAAACTGTGTTGTTGAATTTCATCCTTCCTCCATTGTTGTTGTAGTTAGGTGTATTCATGTAAAGACCCATTGAGGGGATGATGTAAAATAACGACGCTAAAAGTAAGGATAATGCTAGTATTACTATGTAGCGTCAATTACACATATATCCTTCAATAAGCACATGAAAGTACTTTTTTTTTAACCCGTGATAAACTTTATTGGTTTATTAATATTATTAACCTAGCAGTCTCAATATATTCCTTTTACTCTATCCCCTTCCCATCACCTGACTTCATTTTGCCACCATCAACACTATACCAGCCACTTCCATTTCTTGCTAGCCACCAATCCCACCACCGCCCCCAACCCAGTAACACACAAAATAATATATTTGTATTCAACTGTTGTACTGTTTTTTATCGGGCATACGCCAGTCTCATAGCGACGCTTTCATTAAGTGTCATATCATAGTAGCGTATAACATAATAAATACTCTATTAAATGTCAACAACATCTTAAAAACACACATACTATTCATAAAGTTTTATACTTTATAATCTATATTGTACCACGAAGTTATCGAGTTTTGAGATAATATCATTCGAACCAATTTCAATTACTTTATCTCAAAAATCTTTTCAATTTAGGTGAGGAAAGTTGTAAATTGCATTTTACTATCAAATTAGATTTATATACATACTACATATTTTTGTTATAATTTCAGTAATATTGTATTATTTCTTTCCTCATATATGAACCCACACCCACAAGTTTAAATACGGAGTACTAAAGTATGTAATCGCTAAGTTGTTAGTCATATTATTTTTTGCAAGGTAAGATATAAATAAGGATTTCATCATAACATCTAAGCAATATGTGAGGCATTGCTCAGATCCAAAAATTACTCAAGTTTCATAAAATGCCATATATGTAGGCTTATTTAATACAACGAATCTAACCTAATCAAATTTTAAAAGTAAATAGTATATATATTAACTCGTTTGAACATGAAAACACATATACTTGTTTGATTTATATATGGTTCATACACTACTTGTTTAGGTTCATTTACACCGTTAATCATGGATTCCAAATTTTCCACCACAACAATTGAACCTCATAGTTAGTGCATGAAGAATCAAGAATGTGTAATGTACAAATCAACATCAAAAGAAGAAGAATAAAGTTTTGTGTCTAAGAAAAAGAAAAAAAAAAGGGTATTTATCAATGGTACACCCAAGGTTCAGGCCTTTCTCAATGGTAAACCTACTCATTTATTCTTTATCAGTGGTACACCCAAGGTTTCACATTGTTATCAGCGGTACACCTATCATACCCTTTCCGTTAAAAAAAAGTTAGTTTTGGTTTTTTTTTCGATTTTTTTAACTTAAAAACTGACACGTGGCGGCCTGTGATTGGTTAAAAAAAAATTAGATTTATAAATAAGAAATTAAAATGAAAAAATTGAACTTTTTTTTTTCATTTCCCTTTCCCCTTTCCCTTTCCCTTCTTCCCTCCATAACCACAAGAGCAGAAACCACCACCACCAACATGACCCCCACAACCAGCCCCACCACCAACATGACCCCTGCAACCCACCATAAGCAACCACCGTTCCTTAACCTACCACAACCCACCACAAGCAACCACCCTCCCTCAACCTACCACCAGTAACTCCCCTTAACCCACCAGCAGCGGCGCCCCCTTCAATACACCACCAACATGACTAATAACCCACCCCCCTAAAGAACCCTCCACCACCGCAACCCACACCAACTAAACCCTCCATCAACAGCGACCCACACCAACAAAACCGACCACACCACCCCCTTCCTCTCCCAAATCCAACCACCCCACCCCCTTTCCCTCTCAAATCCGACCACCCCACCTTCTTCCCCTTTGAAATTCGACCAACCACCTCCTTCCCCTCCCAAATTAGACAACCCCACCCCCTTCCCCTCTGAAATCCGACCACCCCACCCCTTTTCCCTCTGAAATCCGAGCAATCCACCCCCTCTCTGCCGCCGTCGTCCACCGTAACCCTAAACCTTTGAAAAAAATCCGGCAACCCCCTTCTCTTTCTCTCTCCTCGAGAAGAAGAGATCGAAAATGGTTTTGACCTTCGATTTCCCCTTCGACCTTCATCCTTGATGGTTTCATCGGAAATGGCGGTGGATTGAGGAATGAGGGGAGAGAAGAAGAAGAGATCGAAAATGGGGATTGAATTTCTGGGAATTTGCAGAGAGAGAAGAAGAGAGAGAATGAAGGAGAAGGGGGCTAGGGGTTTGTGGTGGCTGGGTTCGAGGTGGGGGGTTTAGGGTGGTGGTTATGGTGGGGATGAAGCTGGGTTTAGAATGGGGGTTTGGGGTGGTGGTAATGGTAGGGGTGGCTGGGTTCTGGGTGGGGGGTTTATTTTTTATTTTTTTGAACCAATCACAGGCTACCACGTGTCAATTTTAAGTTTAAAAATCGATAAAAGCCAAAACTAACGTTTTTTAAATGGGAAGGGTACGGTAGGTGTATCGCTGATAATTGTGTAAAACCTTGGGTGTACCACTGATGAAGAATAAATGAGTAGGTGTACCATTGAGAAAGGCCCGAACCTTGGATGTACCATTAATAATTTGCCAAAATAAAATAATGGTAGGTTAACAATAAATAAAACATAGGTTTGAGCTTTAAAGACTCCTTCCATCAAAGAAACACACAAATTAAGCGGAAACCAGCAACGTGTCGAATGTGATTAAGGCATCTTAAGGCAGTGAATGTGTGGGGTTTCCCAAAATTGAATCTCCAGATCGGCAATTATGTCGCGGCCAATGAGGCTGAGATCCCTGTCAGATGGGGATGGATCATCGCTGCTTTTGAGCGGAGAGTTGAAGAAGAAGAGACCCAAGTTCCAGTATTCTGGTTGGGTGTTTCATCTTGGTACTAATAAGATTGGCCATGAATATTGTCATCCTCGCTTCTTGTTTATTCGTGGCAAGTATGTCGAGATGTATAAGCGTGATCCCCATGATCATCCTGGCACAGTCAGTTCTTCCTTCTCTCTTTTTATTTTGTCTGTTTCTCATCATTGTTTTGTTTTTTTTGTTTTTGTTTTTGTTTGTTTGTTTGTTTTCTTTTTTTTTTTTTTTTAATTTTGATTTTATTGCTGGATGTTTGAGTGGCTATATGCTTTTCAATTCTGGGTTTAGTTGTTTGATATCATGTTGATAGTATGCAACATCAGCTTGTAATCACTTTAATTTAGATAGTGCTCATTTTTTGCAAATGATTTGGGACATGCATAATTGCCTACTATGCACTTCACCTTGAAGAATTGAGCTTAAACCTTTGACAAAGACCGTGATGTTGTTCAATTACTGGCTTCTCTGGTATTATTTCAACGAGGATGGAATTTGTGAGTAGATACAGGATGTGTCCGCTATGGAACTTCAACTTGAAATGAGTTGGAACTTGTACATGAGTGGGGATAATATGACGATGAAATTACTGTTTGCTAGGCTGTTTAGATTAAAAGAACATGTGGATGTAACCAAAGCATAGAACTGGGGATAACAGGAGTTTAACAATGGACAATTAGAAATGGTTTTAGGCTGATATTCAGGTCTTGGGAAAGCTCATTGATAGAGAGCCTAAACTCTTTTGTTTAATTGTGGATAACACCAAAAATAGTGGATCATGGGGGCACCATAATTAGTATGTCGGAGTCACCAAAAAAATTGAAATTAAACTTAAATGGAAACAATATATAAACAATCCAATTCTCGTAATATAATTTGGGTGATATAATTCAAGAAAGGGATATTTTGTTTCATTTTTCTCCCCGGGATTTCAGGGGCTTACCAGTGGCTACTTTCACCAGCCATTTATAAATTACGACGTTCTCAACTTGAAACTAGAAAGTAGTTGGAAGTTTTCCTTTCTCTCTTTCTATTATGTCTTCTTCTCAAACAAAAATTAGCATTTTCTTTGATTCCTTTGAAAATCATGTTCTATTTTCTCTTCTCTTACTGAGAATGTTTTGGTTAATGGCTATATTTATATGCATTAACAAATAACGAGCCATGATCCTTAATGAAGGCTATACCTTATCCTACTAAATTTGGTTTCTATTTGTTTCTCATTATAATATTCTTAGCATAGCTCCTTATCATACTTAATCATTATTGTATCACAATGAAACCCTTTCCTTTTCAATTAATCTTAAACGTCTCTATTTTTCCCGCTTGTGTGTTTGTACATGTGAATATAACTCTTTTGGTTTTCAAATGCTTGCAACAATTTGACTTCTGCTCTATTTGTACTTTAACTTTGACCACATTTTCACTAATATATTAAAATCAATTGCTATTGTAATGTTGTTGGATTTGTCTAGATATATATTTTTCAAATATATCATTTTACATTTTTTTACTAATACATAATTGCATATCTTTATTGTCAAATTTGTGCATTGGCAAGTGTGTCAATCAAATTGTTGCATGTATTCTAGAACGGAGGATGTACTTGTATTTAGCATCTTTTTCAATCTTCAACAAGTTATTCATAGTTAATTTGCTTTCCTAACGTTTTTTTTTTTTTTTGTAAAGATGACTATGAATTTTCTATCTTAATAACTAACATACCTTAAGCATCACTTGCACTAATTGTATTCTTGTTGCAGAAACTTATACGGAGAGGTGTTGTGGGACAAACTCTTATGGTGGAAGAGTTGGGATGCCGAAAGGTTAATTGTAGTGTAAGGCACTTGGGTTTGAATTCAATGATACTGTTTTCCATATTTTCTCTCCTAGTTCTAGTTCATTATCAACTTCTGAATTAATTTCTGAGGATTATTATATGCACTCACTTTTCTTTTTCTTTTTTTTCTTTTTTTTTTTTAAATTTTTTTAATAGGATCTGCATGTTCTTCGATTCTACAATCGATTGGATGAATCAAAGAAGGGAGAAGTAAGTGAATTTATAATATCTTTGCACAATTCAATGGAACCTGATTATGTGAACTTTCACAGTAATGGATCTTGAATTCTTGATCGTGTGTTTTGTGGCAAGCATAGTCATATAGGGAGTTAGAAGAACTTTAAAAAGTTGTAAAATTGGCATGTTTAATTTATTAAATTACTCTTTTTTTAATGTCTAGAGGATTTTGCTTTGGTAGAGGTTATATGGTATTGTCCGGGTTTATTGCTATTTCTTCTCTTTTAGCTCATCTGCAGATTTGTTATATGAAGTTCAATAAGCAGGAAGGATATAATATATAGTGGGTGATTTGTCTGGAAAAGAATGACAAGATTTTCTGTAGTTTGGAATCTTCTTTGATTACTTTATGGAAGCCAATGATGTTTAGCTTATCTTCGGTCTCACACTCCTGGAGTTCCTTATTGATGGATTTCTGATTTTTGGTCCTTCGGGTTATTTTTTTTTCCCTTATTTGACAGCAATGTATTATTTGACTGTGAAATGTATTGTTTATTATGGAATTGCCTCTGTAGTTGCATTCATATTGATTGCTTTATCGCTTTTGTATATTCTGAGTTGCCTTTTCTTTTTGGGTGGGTGGTAGTAGAGCTGGAATTTTTTTGAGTAATTTGATTATTTTCTTTGCTGAAGATTGCTTGTGCTACAGCTGGAGAAGCTCAAAAATGGTTGGAAGCTTTTGAGCAAGCAAAGCAACAGGTATTGAATTAAAACTTGATGTTGATTTTGGCAGGTTGTTTCATGCTGTGAAGATTATTACTTAATTGTTGTGATACACATTGTTAGATGAGATTAAATCTGATTCTATTGTAATTATTACTTTCTCATCCAATATCTATTAATTATTTTTGAAGAATGGAAACTCCTTTCCAATGCCCCTCTTAAAACATCTGTGAAAGCTGATTTGGTGAAAAGTATGATGCTATGCTCTCTAAGGTGGATGTACCACTCATATGTTTACTTATTTATTGGTTATCACAATGGTTACTTCGTTGACACAGGCAGAATATGAGCTTTCAAGAGGTGGAAGAGCCAGAGACAAGCTGAATTTGGAAGCCGAGTATGTCTTCTATCCATGTAAATGTTGATTCTTGTATAGGATTATTGAGCTAGAAAGCTTAGGTTATTGTGGCTCAAAGAATACCTGTTTCTACCAACCTGCTAGAGTGCTCTTTCTTGTAATGGTAATTGATATATGGATTGAACACATTGGATGGTTCCATTTGTCTTTGCTCCTAGGTATATCTTGTCTTGGTATAATAAATTGGATTTTTTTTTATGTGCTCTTTCTCAATGCCTCAATACCATTCTTGCTCATAAGTTGTGATGGCACACCTGTCCCCCCCCCCCTCCCTCCAAAGGTCACATCATCATTGTATGTTCAACTGTTCATTTACTTGTCCCATATGATCAATATTAAGTTCAAAAGTTTAGGCATCGAAGGTAGTTGATATATTCATGAGCTTACAGTTAGTTTGTAGTTAAAAAGTGAGCCTGTCAAATAATGAATATATCACTTGGAATCTCAAATATATATCCTGATCCAAACCATGCCAAGATAACTGTGAGAAGCACATTTTTAAGTTGTTGCTGATGCTTGATAGGTGGTGGCAGACTAGTTAGTAAAGTCAACTTTTTGACCCTTTGACAATTTGTGCAGACCTTTCTTTTCTTGTTTCAGTTTGCTTATTCTTTGCTTGACTGTTTGTTTATAACCTACTATTTGATTTGAGTTGGACGTATCTGAAGTTTCTGGTGACTTTTAGCGTTAGATTACTTTTTTTCAATTATACTTGTCTATTGTCCTACTAAAGATGTACTTGAAAGAAAAGATTCTGTCTTGCTGCTAGGTGCTTGTGAACATGACAATCGCCATCTGCAGGTGTTTTAGTTTGGGGTCATGCCTAAGGTCACTGGTGCTGGTAGAGTAGAAGGTTGAAAGTTCTTTTTGCCCCATCTGGGTATTAATTTCTTTTTTTTTTTTTTTTTTTTTCCTAGCTTGTGTAAAGTCAGAGAGCTATACTCTGCATGATGACTGTAATCTGTCCTTTCTCATTCCAGTGTATAAAGTCATGCAGGATCTCTAGCTCTATTAGATTTTCTGGCTCTAATCTGCCTTTTTTTGATGATTCTATTTGTTTGAGGGCATTGAACCTCTCTTTGTTTAGGGGATAGATTCTGTTAGTCTCTTTATACTTGCAACAGTTTGTCAAAATTGGAACATATTACTGATTGGCAGACGGCGTTGATTGCAGTGTGCTCCATAAGCTGCAGTTTTCTCATGCTTTCTTATAGTTACAATGCCTATTTATCGACCCAGTATCTCATGCCTTAGATGGTTCCATTTTCTTGGTTTGTTGTCAATCTTTTGAATAACTTATGATCTTCTCTCTTCTGTGGAAAGGATTGATCTTGACGCACATCGCCACAGGGTGAGGAAATATGCACATGGCTTCATAAAACTTATAAAAATCGGACAAGGTGAGTTGTTGTTAACTGGTATAGCAGTAAATGGTGATTCCATCTTCTAATAGCAAAAATTGAAAAATATATCGGTGGTTATAGAGCGGGACACTAGGATGGCAATTTGTGCTACTAAAGTGGTCTCTTCTAAAACAACTAATGCAGTACTCTCTGAAATGAGATTCCATCTTTGGGTAGAACAAAAGAAGTTATTCCTGCTCCAGTGTAATGTATATAACTTAGACAAGCTGCTCCATATAGTTTGGGATATGCAAATACTCTTCTTGCGCCTAATATTTTTCATTTAACTAAATCTTATATTATTAAGCTGTACAAACAAAAAAGATGCTAAAGATCAGTGCCCTGTGCTAATGTTTAGGCATCATCATTGGTAGGATGTAATTGCAGGAAAATGAGCTGATCCCTTGCCCTGGACTCAACAAAAACTTGTGAATGTGGAGCTGACGGGTTTAATTAACGCTTGTAGTTTAAAGCAAGATCACCTCCCTATTCAACTTCAATGTTCTTTTTCCTTATTTTTTGGAAGTTCTTTATTATGTTGTTGTAACTTGAACACTCTTACACGAAAAGTTAATCACTTCCAATTTTTTGGTAAAAGATCTTCACTGCCTCTGTTCTCTCCAACATCATGACCAATGTCTAAACAACACTACTCTTTTTCCTGTTACACACTAAGTGACCAACGACAGTAGAAATCACTACCTTTCTTCTCCTATGTTAATTTTAATTATATTTCAGCAAAAGAATTATTGAATCCTCATGACAACAAGCGTGACCTTTCAAACCTCTTAGGGCAGTTATTTTTGGCTGATTAGAACTTATAGAAAGGAAAAAAAAAAAGGAGAAAAGCTTAGACAATAAACAGAACTACCTTGTGAAATTGTCATAGCTTATATTAGTTTTGCTCTAAATAAACAAACTGGATGTACTTCATTACTTTAAGTCTCATATTTATCAAATCCAAATAGGAAAAGAATTGCTCTCCCTTTTAAGAAGAGGGACAGAGAGAGGGTTGCCACTTGGTGAGTTGTAGGAATATGTGAATGGCTGGTCAGGAAAGTAGTAAAGTCTTGCCTTATATTCGCTAGAATTTTAATAAGGTAAATCTGTGAAGTGTCTATGCGTTCAGATTCTGTATGGCTTTATATTACAGATATACCTATGTTGTGGAAGTATGTTGCTTCTAATCAATCAATCAATCAAAGCCTTAATCCCATAATGTTAAACACTTTTTGGACATATAAGAACTTCTCTTGAACTCTTTTAATGAGAAATAATTATTCATTTCTCTATTATCAATCCAGAGCCACTTTTGCGACAATCATCATCCTTGGCTGAGAATGCCCAGACAGATGGCTATATGGGAGTTGATGGAGATGCTGATGCAATTGAAGCACATACATGGAAATGCATGTGCACCATGAATGGTTAGTATTTGTTATTAAGGGTGTAGACTTCTAATTGATAAGTTGTTCTTGTAAATTATTTGGCTCTAAGTTTCCTAGCTTCTTTACTGCATTGTCCAGTTTCCTTGTGTGTCCATATATCAAGTCAGTTATAGAAAAGTTTCTATATACTGTAATATCTGTAATTCAACATAGAATTACTATAGGTTGATATAAGATTGTTTCAGGCTTTAGATTGTTAGCCATAAATTTTCTAATTTTGACTTTTTTCAATAAACATTCAGTGTAGCTAAGAAATTGTAAGAATTAATATTCATCTAAGCATTAGGATGGTAAGCAGTGGTTAGCTCTCCACCTCTGAACTCCAGGACCATGAGTTCAGGGCTTGTTGTTTGGTGTCCCCTCCAGTTAAGAATTGGGGCCTCACTAGCTAGCAGTTTCCTGCCTTATCCCCTCTTGTCAGTTTACCCCATATTTCAAAAAAAAAAAAAAAATCCAAAGAAATGAGGAACACACCACTATAAAATTGACGATCAAATTAAGGAGAGATGCATACAATAAATCTGACTGAAATAGCTTCCTTTTTATTTTTTAATTTATTTTTTACTCCTCTCCATCTTTCTTTTATGAATTTGTTGGGGAGAAGCTTAATAATGAAGTTTTGTTTATCTAAAAGGTATTGGTGAACTTTTGTTTAGTAAATTCCAGCTACAGTAGCAGATACATTCCAAGCTTTGCTGTTCTGCATTTTTACGAATTTTACCAGAATATGTTCTATAATATTTCAATTTTTCAAGGACAAGCCTAATCTTTGGCAACAAATCTACAATGATATCTTTTATTGATTCTTGTGGTGCCTTTTCATTTTTCTTTGCTTTTGGTTGGTTATACTTTGTTTTCTCATTTGCAGGAATTAGAATCTTTGAGGATGTTGTAGAGTCCAAGGTATCCACAATGTCATATTGTTTTCTCTATTACACTTTATAGTTTTTACCAGATCTTGTGGTTATATTTTCTCATGACCCTGACTCTTAACAATCTTGCTTTTCCATGCTGCTGAACTTGCATAGGAAGAATCTGTGTTGAATAAAATCTAGGAAGCAGGGGGCATGCTTAATGTGAAAAAAAAATGATGTAGTATGGGAAGCAATCAACCAGTTGCTGTCATAGTGGAATACTGAAAGCTCTTGGTAATCAATACCAACGCATATCCTCCCTGAATGCATCTGTACCCTTTCTGAATTTGGAAATGGGGTCATGCCATGAAGAAAAGACAGATGCGATAGCTCATATTTACTTTTTTTGTAGTTATTTCCATGTACTTTGCTCATGTATTTACCTGATTAATTTTGCTTCTTTTAGAAAACCGAGTCTCTAGGGCATTAAAAACCAATTTAAGGGCCCAATTGTATTATTTAGGTTTTTTTGTTTACTACTCCTTCCGTCCTTAAATTCTATCACCAAATAAGTATCCTGTTACTTAAAATAAATAATTCACCCCGCTCATCTCATCCATCCCATGTGATGTGGGTTCCACCACTGTCTCTCTATATCTAATGGATGTGGTACCCCCATCAATCAATTTCTTATTCTTACTTTTCCACTATATGTACCAAAAAATCTTGCATTACTCTACTATAAATAATATGCATGCTCAAGCATAAGAGGACAATAATCTGAAAATGGACTCCGATGGAGGGAGTTCATTTGCCAAGAAATTTGTGACCTTTTTACTTGTTAATGTTTGTGGAGGATCAATATTTCTCTTGATTTTCGTTACTTTTAATCTGATATCTAATTGCAAATTTTTTTATTCCTATTTCGGCTATTTGCTGCTCAATCCCTTTTCTTAGCTTCTGGAATCAGGAGCTGTAATATGCTTCCAGTTTATTTTCTGCCAAAATTTCATTCACGCTTTCTTTTGTTAAAATACTAGGCTGGTAGAGGCATTCTTGTGAAGTCCGTGGGAATAATTGATGCCAAATCGGATACTGTCTTTGAGGTTCTTATGAGCCTTGATCCCTCTAGGAGATATGAGTGAGCTTCTTTTCTCTGTTCATCCTTGTCTTTTTTATTTATTTTTTAATTTTTTTAAATAAAATTTATAGAGGGATATGTAAATTTTGTTTTCTCATATCATCTTATTTTGAGAATTTATGAGTATGCTATACCTTTAAACTAATTATGGGGTAGCATCTGTGCATCATTACAGGTGGGATATGTTGACTAGTGACTTGGAGCTTGTTGAAAGCATAGATGGGAATTATGATGTTGTATATGGCACATATGATCCGAAATATTTCACTTGGTAATATATTTGTCTCTTCACCCTATCTCATCTTGTTTTGTCACTTTGTGTTTTGCTGCTAGAAATTACATTCCGATGGCCAAATTTCTTGCATTCACATTTTTCTTCATAATAATTTCTAATCTGCATTTTTCTTAACTTTTGGAACATTAAAGCTAGAATGTTTCTTTACACAAGTGGTATGTGGAATATTAACTTTGGCTCATTGCATTTATCTTCGCTGTTAGCCATTTATGAAAGGAGTACCATAACAATTTACTTTTCTTTTTGTACCCCCCGCTCCATTTTTATTTGTTGGTTTAATATGAAAAGAGAAAGAAGCTCATCTCAGAACATAGGTTTCTTCCAGGAAAATAAAAGATTTAAAAAATAAATAAATTCAAATTGGCCTTGGTGAAAGTTTTAGGAGGAAGCACATTCTACACTCTAGCTGGTCAATTTCACAAACCTTGAAAATGGAAGGGTAAGGAATTAGTGCTGAGAGAAAGGATAGCTCTATGTATGAATATTCATGTTTGGAGAAAGAAGAATTTTTTTGTGGAAACCTCCGAGGGAAATTTCTCATGCTTCAGATACACCAACTTCATTTTTTCAAAATTCAAAAATACTACCCATCTGATGAGGTTATTTCAGTGTAAATACTAATATTTTTTTACTACAAATTAAAACACTCTGCGGAGAAATTCGAATCCCAAGGACTAGTGGCTACTACCCTTCTTGAGAAATTTGCATTCTAGGTGAAGAAGGATGTTGGTTGGCATAGGTACTGATGAACATACTATAAATGTTCACAAAATTTCATATCCACCTTTCATGAAAACAATTATTGTGCAACCGACCCACTTCTACAGAATTTACCTTTTTATTGTTAGATTTAGTGTTTTGATGCTTTGAGTTGCTCTTTTTGTTAGGGTTACTTAACACGTATAAGGAACTTTACTATAATATATAAAAAAGGTCATTTTAAAGAGTAGCTTCAACATGGATGCACGCAGAATAAGCTGATAAATCTTTTTAATTTCTCCAATATAGTTAATATGACTCAACTAACAATGTACTGAGATTTTTCTACAGAAAAACTAAGTAGTGAGTTGCAGTCTAGGTACGTGTGTTTGGAGAATATTGTGATGGTTAGAACTGTAAATCAATATGAGAATCCTAACGCAGAATAGGCTATGAATTTGGTACCCCTGATGGGGTATATACAATATGTGCAGTGAATTGTGAATACTCTATGTCAACCTAATTAAAATAATCGAATTTTACACGGTGCTAATTGCTCTGCATTCTTCTTTAAGTTAGTACTTTCATTTGTCCTGTGAAGTCTTTATCAGCAAAATTCCTGATGGATAATGTGTGAATAATATGTGTGCTTGCTATTCCTCATGTAGGTGGAGTTCCAGAAGGGACATTGGAACATATAGTTCGTAAATCTTTCTTGAAGCTTCTAAAATTACTTTTTTGTGTTTTGACCATAGATATTAGAATTTTATTCCAAACATATCCTTGCTGTAGAACTTTAATAGATAGGGGAGTATATCTAAATTTATTGTTCTCTGAGTTTATCTCTTTTATTAATCCTGACTGACTAATTTTATTTATGGATGCAGCAATTTTACAATTTCCAGCAGTACATAAAAAGTGTCCTGCTAGACCTGGCTATCAACGAACAATCGTAAGCCATTTTGTTCTCAAGTTTTATGGCTCCTTTCTACTGTGCTACATATTTTCTTCCTCATCTTTTCATTTTTATGAAATTTAGATGTAGTAATTACTATCCAAATTAATAAGGAAAAAATAAAAATAAACAGATGGTATTATAGCGACTCCCTTTAGCTTATGGCTTGCCTAATGCACAGGATTGATTCACGATTTGAGTGCTGATAGTATTATATAATTCGTTGTTTAATTACATGAATACTCCGTATAATACAGGCTCAATAGGGTTTTAAATTTGTATCCTGTAAGAGTTGGATTGTCTGTATAGTAATAAAATGACGGAGTACACATGTAAAGATCCATTCAACTAGAATATAAATACTTCCTTTGTTTTATTAACTTGCAACATACCACTTTGGCACGCACTTGATGGAAGATATTGGACTAGGTAAACAGACAAATTAATTGAAATAATTTTACCATCGATATGAATAGTGTAATACCCCAGGTGAACGTGAGACCTTGAGCCCACTAGATAAGGTGCCTATGGCTCTCCCACATTGGAAGTTGAGGAGAACTGAGGAAGTATGTCATTACTATTTTAAAATTGCTCAAATAGCGTGCCAAGGTGTGTTGGAAGTATAAAAAAACAGAGGAAGTATTCATTACTAATTTAAACTTGCTTGGCTTAGTTGTCTTTGAGTGTTTATTGGGAGGAGCTCAGTTTTCTAATGGTTTGGACCTCTCCAACTCAATTTTTTAATACATGCAGTGCAATTTTACTATTTCTCTTTCATACAAACACTAAACAGGATTTATTTTCCCTTAGTCTCCAAAAGCATACAGAAAACAATAGACATTAGTGATGAGCAGTTACAGAAGGATTTATAGCAATTGCTCTGGCCTGCTCGATCACATGTGCATATATAAATTCAGAAGATGAAAAATCAAACTTAAATGTGACAAAAATTCACCATAAATCTACGCTCCTGAGAGGATTTCAATACTGAATATGGAAAGGAGTTGATGTTGCCGTATGACCCTTATCCATGCATTCATGCAATAGAGATTGCTCCCATTTGACCCTTGTTGATAAAAGCAGTTACTCCCTAGTTATTTTGTAGCTGATAACCTAGAATTGACTGTATCAGCTTGTTCAAAAAGGATATAGAAAGAGATTATGCACCTAGCTTCAGCAGATAAAACAAAAAGTAGTAGGGTGTACCCTCATGGCTTCATGTTCCAATATAGTTTATGACACTTGACAGATTTGGTGACATCGTAGTCTATGCTAGAGGTGATTACCAAAAGATAAAGTGACATGAGTCAGTAGAACTCCACCAAACTTTGTTTGAGGTGATGAATTTCCGGAAGCCATTTTGTTGTGGACTTGTGGTGTCCAGTATGTCTACAAATCTCCATAACTTTACAAGTCCTATCCACAAAATCTTTATTATTTTATTTGTGGTGTCCAGTATGTCCACCGATCTCCATAGCTTTACAAGTCCTATCCACAAAATCCTTTATTATTTCAATTTTTTTTTTAAATCTTTTTAATTTGCAGGATTATGCCAAAAGTAAAAGAGTTTAGGCGCCTTTTTTGCACCTCTCTCCCCCTCCCAGCCTTTTGTGCATCATGGGTCATCAATTTGGTTGACTACACTACGATGCAAGTTTGCAGTGTTGTAAGCCAGATACCTGTGATTGGACTGACAAAATTAATGGTTCAGAGTTCCAGAGCTTCTTGTGTGAACCTGTGACAGAATTTCTGCCAGCTTCTGTCCATAAAAAATCCTGCTCAAGAGTCTTGCTTGGGAAGGGGAAAGGTTGATGGGATTAGCTAGTGCTTTACATTAATCATTCCTCCTTATGTATATAGTTGTTCAACTTTCCTTTTTAATGGAGTCCAACGCACACCTTTGGTCATTAATGTATATAGCCTTGAAATTTATAAATAATTAAAAAAAAAGTGATAAAAAGTTGATAATTTAAAAATCACAAATCGAAACAAATTTAACAAGATCCGATTTGATTTATTTTGATGTATATATTAGTAAAGAGAATAACTTATTTGAAATGGACGGATTATAATTGAAAGAGAGTCAGAGAGAGTAGCAAAGTTATGCCTATCTTCCATCATTATAAATTGTTCTGGATGGCATTCTATCCATAAGTGTTTTATCTATACAAAATTCTTATAGATTTTTTTTTATCTTAAGGTGCTATCCATCCCTCAGGTTTAAGAGATGCTACTGCATTGATTCCTGTAACTTTATTGCTCTTTCCATATTGTGAATAGCTTTTTTATTTATAATTTTTTGTGTAGCTTCTACTTGGGAGATAAAAAGTTTGGACACATCTGATGCCACAGCCGAATCTCCAAGATGTCTTGTGACACACATGTTGGAGATACAATCTGATAGCTGGGGTTCTTGGAAGAAAAGCCGCTCTTCAAAGTTTGAGAAATCTATCCCTTATGCATTGTTGTGCCAAGTTGCTGGTAAGTTGCTTCCTGTGGATTTTCAAGTATTGTCTTGCTTGAGTAGCAACATTGTAAAGCAGTTAATCTTGTTATGGAGAATTATTTAAAGAGTGGTGACTTAATTTTGTGGCAAATCCGGGTTACTTATTGTTCATGCTGCAGTTATTATCTATGATAGCCTGTTCCATTATTGTATTATTCAAAGCATGTTGCCTAATTGATCAGAATCGGGATAGCTTTGTTAAAATTTGATATTGGGATCATTATATGCATAATCATCGCAACAAATTCATAGGAAAGAATAACTTGTGTGTTTATAATGATAGCAAGAGTTGCAAGACATTGATTATGCAATCTTTAATGCAGTGCCTTTCTGTGAAAAAAATGTGCTTACATTCCATTTTTCATGGGAGCGTGCATGGCTTGTTTTTAATTCTTGTTTTTCATTGTATAGGTCTCAAGGAATATATTGGAGCAAATCCAATTCTTAAAAAAAATTCGGTTACCGCAGATTTGTATTCAAATTCCTCCAGTGATAGTGTTTCCAGCAGTGAATGTGACGACTCTGCAGAAGAGTTTTATGATGCGATTGCTACAGAAACATCTGATGGTGAAGATAGTGATGATGATATTGAAGTTGACAAGAAGGTGTGAACTCTTCTGTTTTTGTTTGGATAATACAATAGATCCCTCTATTATAAATTAAATCAATAAGCTGTGTCAGGACATTGTGACGCTGGAGAATGTATCATCAGACATAGCAAGCTTGTCTTTGAAGAAGTCTCCAGGTTCCCTTAACTGTTTGTTTAAATCTTTGTGTAACTTTTGACTGTTGTTCCACCTACTTGAATTTATTAGTTGATTTAACATGAATATCCTCCAATTCAGTTATCACGCTGCTAGTACTAGTCATTTTTCACCAATAAGATTCAATCATCTATGATTCTCTTACAAGGTACATCAATTGTGTTAGAAACTATGCTTTCCTTCAATCTGTACTTCTGTAGAAATTAAACTCCTATCACTCCCTTTTGAGTTCTTGTTAACAAAGAAATATTTGCTCAGTTGCTCACTCACCCTGTTTTGAGGTTTTGTTAGCACAATTGGGGATCAGCCTTTTTTATTTTTCCTTCAATTTTTGGTATTTTAGCAATGAAGAAGACAGTGGCATCATCTCATATTTTCTGCTCTTCTGCTGATAAGGCTGTGATATTCGTTTTTACTGTAGCATGTCTGTTGAATTTGGTTTGTTCCTTGAGTATCTTGCTGTTTAAAAAGGGGGAAATACACCTAGTGCCGAGCTGTACCGGAAACAATAAAGCGGGAGGGAGGATTTAAGAAGACCAATTGTCAGAAAGACGAACCTTTCCAACTTCATTTGTGGCTCAGTTGCTACTGATATGCTTTATGTTGATGTGCTGTTTCTTGTAACTCCATATTATGCAGTGTAATCCATCAATAAATTACTAGCTTTCTCATCCTGCAGCTAATGATGCAAGCAAAGTACTAGATTCAGCTATACCCCCAGTGTCAATTGATTCAAGCAAGTTTAGTGGTTCATTGCGTCAAGGAAAAGATGATGATGACACAAATTGCTGGACAAATCCAGGTGGCGCGGGATTCATGATTAGAGGAAGTACATACTTGGAAGACTATGTTAAAGTAAGTTTTATTATTCCTAACTATTATTTACCTTTTACTCATCATTATATTAAAAAAAAAAAAAAAAGTCCTTAGCAGACATCTTTTACTACTTTAGTGTTTTATGCATCTGTTGTTTTGCAGTAACAATTTAGTATCCGTAAGATGCAATGGAAATAACAGACAGTGAACTGATATCAACAATCCTTGTTCCATCTTGTTGAATTCTTTTTTTTCTCATTCAATGTTACTGATTAAGATTGTGTTGCAGTTGATTTAGGGCACTACTTACCTGTTAATGATAGTTATTACTTCATAGTTCAATGATTTCAAACTGTTGCCAGTTGGGGATTTAATACTTTTATCTTTGTCCCAGGATTAACTTCCATATTATTTGTTGGAATATCCTGTTATACGTGCCACAAAATGATTTGGGAACTCACCTTCAAACACAATATAGAACGAATAGCAAAATACGATAATATAAGGGACAAGTGTTTATGAGGAAATTTGATTTCTTCCCCTCAAATAATATAAGGGACAAGTGTTTAAGGGACAATATAGAACTCACCCTCTTGATGATTTTCCTCCTCAACAATCCATCATACTTTTTTGGTAAGCCAAAACTCTCTTTTATAGGCTAACCTAAAAACCCTCATCAATTAGGATATTTTACTTGCTCCACAAACTTAAATAATCCTAGATTGATAACATACCTAAATTCCATCTAGTTTCCTATTTACAAAACTCATCTAAATAGGAAAGCATAAAAGATAGAAACAAATAGATAAAATATGTATTTTATTTTTTCCTTAAACGAATCTATATTCTTGGTTTTGGTAAGTTTAGTTTATTTCCTAAAAAACCTTCCCTTACACTCAACTTACCATCCTCATGTACCGATGAAGAACTTTCAGAGCTTGCCTCCGCTTGAGTCATAATTTGTCCCATGCTACCTCGTTTTGTTTGTTTCATCGCCCTATTAGATCACACTCCTATATTTAGTGACCTCCATATGACCTTTTTTGATATGAATAACACAACCCAAGCCATCCAAACGCCCCAAAGAAATAAGATTGCGATCAAGTCTCAAAATATACCTTACCTCTCGTAATTTTTGAGCTCTATCACCATTTTTCTCGATCTTAACCTTAATCATACCCCCATTAGGCTAGGTAACACTCAAATCCCTCTCTTTGTTTGTTTGCTTGTAATAAGTAAACCACTTCTTCCTACAACAAATATGTTAGGAGCATTCCAAATCTAAGATTCATCCCTCTTTTGAATCTTACTTTCTTTCACTACGACAGCCATATCATCATCAACTATGGCAGTAGCAACAATCCCACCCCTAAGGGCTTGTTTAGTTCACCTTATTTTTTATGAACTGATTTGACCTGATTTGATCTGGTTGTCTGATTTGACCAAACTTTGACCTTATGTGTATGTGATGAGTGACATTTATGTCACTCTTAGGGGTAGTATTTAGGTCTTTTTCCTCTTATTTTTCTTAGGTTTTTCCACCTCATTATCCTTTTATGGCTTCTTTTTGTGTTGATGAAAAGTAATGCTTATTTTGATAATCTTTATGCATTATTTTATCATCCCCATGCTCTCGTGAACTTTGGTATCTTCTGCAGGTTCCGTGACGGTCCTATGCACGGTGGGAGGCCCCTTGGCCAAGCATGGAAGCCATGGACAAAGGCAAGAGGAGCAAAAGGGAAGGAGAGGAAGCAAGAAAAGGAAGTGCTAGAGGAGGTGTGGCCGAACCTCTGAAAGGTCCGGTCGAACCTTGGTGTGGTCAAACTTTTCAAAAGTTCGACCGAACCTCCAGGGTGCAGTGAAGGCAGTGTCAAACCTGTTTTCAGCAATTTTGCAGGAGAGGTCGAACCTCAAAAGTTCGACCAAACAAGGATCAGGGAGGTTCGACCGAACCTACACAGGGTTCGACCGAACCTACCCTGAGTCCGACCGAACCTACCCAGAGTTCGGTCGGACCTTTTCCCGATCTCAGCCAATTTTGTACGGACTATTTAAGGTCCTTTTGAGATCGTTTAAAAAAAGAAGAAGGAGGACAATAGCCTAGTTTTCAGAAACCTCTTAGTTTGAAACATTCCTTAGGATTAATTTAGCTTAGTTTTCATCAAATCAAATCATTGTATTAGTGAAATTCAAGAATTATTCTCAAAGTTTGGCAATTTGTATTCAACATTTGAAGCTTCAATTAGTAATTTCTCCAACCTTCTTCCTTTTAATTTCAGATTTTATTTGGTATTTGCATGTTATTTAAATCTTCTTAGTTCTTGGTAATTTGTTATTGGATGATAGTTATTTCAATTGTTAACCACTTTTCCCCAATTATTGAAGTATTTAGAACCCTAATTCTTGATTTCATGTTGATAAACATGAGTTGTGAGTAGTTTTCTTGCTAGGGGTTGGGTGAAGCTCGACCTTTTGGGTTAACTATGCAAATGTGGGAGAAGCATTGATGTTTGTATTGCAATTAAATTGATTATATGAGATTGCTTGTTAGTTCCTCATGATAGGTTTAGCTACCCTTGACTAAGGAGCTTGATAGTATGATATGCCTAATTTGACATGGAAGTGTAAATTGAGTACGTCATTACTTATTGTAATTTGATTATGTATCATCTATTGCTAAACTAATGAGGAATCTAAGTTTAGTAGTGTGAGTTGTTTTCTAATTGCATGAAGTTGATTTTACATATAGTCCTTGCTATATCTTGTCTATTTTACTCCCCGTTTGCCTATTTGCCTTGGTTGAGTGGATCTCATTCCCTAGTATCTTTAATTCATTGATTTAGAACCATAGTTTGTTTGTCTTCTTGACGAACCCCAATTCACCAATTGACTTCGAGTTAGCTTAAGTGTAAAGATCTTTGGCAATCATATCCTGTTCCTTGTGGACCGAACTCTTACTTGTCATTATGCTTGGTTTGTAAGGTGTTTGTTAATAATTGTGTTTGATTGAGTGTGGAATGTACGACCGTTCTAATGCCCATCAAAATGGCGCCGTTGCCGGGGAGCGGTGTTGTTGATAGCTAATTGATTACTTGAGTCTAGTTCACCATAAAAAAAAAATTCAAAAAGATTGTCTCTTTTTGGCTACACTTGTAGCCTTGGTACTAATTGCGTTTGTTGAGAGTGTATGCGCAGAACTCATAACAGGATCTTGGTACCTTATGATCCCGAGATTGAGCAAACTTATAGAAGGAGAAAAAGAGCCGGTTCTAGGCCGTTTACTACTCCCCCAGCTAGAGAGACCAATTTCGAGGAGGATCGAGATCAAATGGGTGACGCGGAACCACCACCTCAAAGACCTTTAAAGGAGTTGGGAACTCCGGGAGCTTATAGAGCTTCAAGCGGCATTGCTCCACCCGTTACTCAAGCCAATGACTTCGAGATTCGGCCCGCAATGATTAATTTGATTGAAAGGAGGCAATATAGTGGAGCAAAACATGAGAGCCCTCTTGCACACTTGAACGAGTTCGAAAAATATTGTAACACGATCAAGGTAAATGGGGTAACTCAAGAGTTTGTGAGACTAAAGTTGTTTCCTTTTTCTTTGATAGGAAGAGCTCTTGAATGGCTTGAGAAGGAGGTGAGGCCTAACTCCTTGAGAACTTGGGACGAGGTCACCACGGCTTTCTTAGGAAGATTCTATTCCCAAAAGAAGACGGCCGAGGCAAGAGCTTTGATCCAAGGTTTCCGTCAAAAAGCTAGTGAAACCATTTATGAAGCATGGGAACGATACAAGGAATATCAAAGGGAGTGCCCTCATCATGGCATTCCGTCATATCAAGTGCTTCAAATTTTCTATGGGGGCTTGAGCCCACAAGGAAAGACTAGCTTGGATGCAGGAGCGGGTGGCCCGATTATGAACAAGACGGAGGAGCAAGTCATAGAGATAATTGAGGATGTGGTGAGGCACCACATGGATTGGCAAGAAGGAGAGAGAGATTCTCTAAACAAGGGAGGAAATGCGGTTTACTCCGTTGATCACCTTAATGCCATCAACAATTTGACCTCCCAAATCGCCAACCTTGGAAAGGAGATGACGTCCATTAAGGCAAAACTAGAGACCTCTAGTTCAACACAAGAGCATCCCTCCCAATCTAAGGGGAGAGGTATGAATTCTAACTCTTCTCCCTCTACTTCTAATAACATGCCTCATGGATGTTTGTTTTGTGAAAATTGTGGGTCTTATGACCATGATACCTCTTCTTGTAATTATGATTTCCAACCCCAACCCCAATACGAAGATGGTAATGAAAATGAAAATGAACAAGTCAATGCCTTGTCTTATGATAATAGACATAGGAATGAAAATCAAAGATACTTACCACCAAATAGAAGAGAACAAGGGGGGAATTCCTATAACCAAAGAGGAAATGATTACGATTACCATAATCAAAATCAATGGGGAAGTAGGAACCAAAGGGACCAAAATCCCCAAGGTAACTACAACCAACAAGGTGGTTATGGTAACCATAATCATAATAATCAAGGAAACTATGGGAATCAAGGGCAATTTCACCAAGGGGGAAACTCTAATAATCGGAACAATTGGAACAACAATAATAATAGAGTTTCTTCTAATCAAAATACGTCCAATTCGAATGCTAGAGGTAATAGGGCTTCCCAAGACAACCACTATGCACAAGCACCACATAGTAGGTCTAGCTTGGAGGAAATGATGGAAAATCAAACTAAAATGTTCAATTCTTTCATGGCCTCAAGTGAAAAGAAATTTAGTGAAGTAATGACACATAACAAAATGCTTGAAACACAAATTTCTCAATTGGCCAATGCTTTAAAAGAGGGAGCTAGCACTTCTAAACTTCCACCCCAAGGACTTGACCCCAAGAAACCGGTGAATGCTATATCAACTAGGAGTGGGAAAGTGTTGGAAGAGAGTGTCCCTAAGGAAAACAATGAGAAAGTGAACATGAGTGAGCCTCCCTTTAAAAGTGATTTTGAACAAGAGAGAGGGCAAAACCATGAGAATGAAAAGGAGAAAGAATGTGAGAAAGAAAAAGAATTTGAGAAAGAGAGAAGAGAAAAAGAGAGTGAAAAAGAAACCAAACAATTGCAAAGACTTCCATATCCCCATAAATTTGTGAGACACAAATTAGATGTGCAATTCGGAAAATTCCTTGAAACACTGAAGCAAATTCACCTTTCAATCCCTTTTACCGATGCTATCAAGCAAATGCCTAACTATGCTAGGTTTTTAAAAGATATTTTGAGTGGAAGGAGAAAGTGTGATGTGGTGGAAACGGTGAATCTCACCGAGAATTGTAGTGCTATTATCATGAATAAGATGCCACCAAAG